CAATATATCATCGCAGAGCTTTCAGATGACACCACCTAAATTTGGTGCTGATATGATAAAATTTGTGGGAGGATTTTGTTATACTGTAAAACATGTCATTTTTCTGTTGCCAGCAGGTGGCGCTATAACTGTAGCTGGATATCGGCATGTAAACGTGTTCAAGTCAGGACTTTTATCATACGTGTGAATTTTGAGGCAGATGCATGCCTGAGTTATAACGACTTCCTTTTTCGTTGCGAATCGTCAAAGTTTGTGAGGTCGCCATGGACACGCCCTTTGACGAAAACACTAGATCTTCGCAATTTAACATCACCAAGGCCTTTAGATTCGGTGTTGATTGGTTTAATTTCCTAGGAGGAGTTCGTTAAAATGCAACGCCTGGAAATGGCAAAAACGCCACTTCTTCACCGCAGGAAGGTAAAAATATGCGACTTCCTGTTGGGATTGAGATTTCGCTCCAGGAGACTTTTTTTAGGTTTTGGCATGTTTGACGTGTGTGCCAATTTTTGAATGCGTGCGTGAATCGAAGCTCGGGGGCCAGTCCGTCAAAGTGCATAGGTGGCGCTGTCGAGTCATTTTGCAACGGCCACTTCCGAAACCTAAAACAAACGTAAATTTTGGCCACTTCTGGCACGTGTGCAAAGTTTCGTGAGTTTTCGGGCAAAATTGCGATTCATTCCGTAAAAGAAGCAGAAGAATAATAATAAGAAACAGAGCAATTCCAATAGGGCCTATAGGGCCTAGGTGCCCAGTCCTTAATAAATATTTTCTGTTCTATAGAAAGCCTAACTCTTATCCTTTTGATTTGTAATATTTATTATAATTTATTTCAAACTTGCATACTTATTTGGTCACATCAACAAACCATCTTTATTTCTCTCAATTAAAATATCAAACAACACATTTACACATTGATATCTTTCTCCTGCCTTTACCTTCCGGTTAGTTTTTTGGAAAATTGTTGTTTCAATATACTGTTATTATATACCTTCCTTGTGAATTTATGTCACATGTTTTTTACTGCAAATGCCACATATGTAATGCTGGAATTGTTCAATATTACTGTACAAAATTTCTGATCAATTAAATGCAACCTTGGTAAGAAAAACTATTTAAAAACAGTGTACTTCAATTTCTGCTGCTTGACTGGAAAGTAATCATGTTTAGCAACAAATAAACATGAGGCATTATTTCCACGTTATTGTGCTGCTCTGAAATGCTAGTTTGAAACTCTTGTGTGAAATTGTTTCGCATCAGGGCAGGACAGCTTGCTGTTGACTACTTAGTTTCTCTATTCACTTTTCCAGATCCCTCTTGACCATGGCTGAGTGGAGAGGAGAAAGAAGAAGTCTTTCACCTCCAGGATTGTGGAGTGACCAGGAACTGGACACTGATCTGGGCCGTAGGTCTTTCCAGCACACTCTCAGGTCTTTAAGTCCTCTCGCTCTCTCGGATCTTGACTTTTGGGATGGTAGATCTCTTCTTAAAACTTGGGTAATGTACAATTAGACACTACATCAGTCAAAATAAATATTTTTTTTTTACAAATTTAAAAAAAAAAAACATGTTTATTTTATTTATTATTTTAAGAAATCTCCAGCATGGAGCTGTGTGGGCTTTTCTGGATCACCTCTTAACTCAAAAATAAGCAAAAGGTTAGTGATATTTTCTCTTTTATGTATATATTTAGCTATATGTGCATTTTTCCATTTGTTTAAAGTTTTAAAAATATTTTTAAGACATTAAAGTGTTAAACTTATCAGCAACAAGCAGAAGAAAGCATATGAAATTCTGACAAAGAAAAGAAAATTGCATTGCAGATTTACTATGTTAAGATTTCCAGATCTCCCAGTTCTGTTTTAAGTTCTTCCAAATAATAAAAAATGAACTTGTTCTTCATTAAAATTTGTTTCTTGGAGTTGAGATTTTCACTTGGTATTAGAATTCCCCTTCAAACTCCCACTGACACAATAGTAAGCACCAATTTTAGTGGATTAGACAACTGAATTACATATACTGCATTGGTTTAATAAGTCAAATTGTTCTCTGATATCTACATAGTAGGTATATGGCTTAGGTAAGGTTAAAAATATGCAGAACTGGGTTTTTTTATGCAATTTTTTTCTACTCCATAAAATACCCCTATAGAATCAAAATGTTTCATATTGACCGTATTTGGATTGGTCGTGAATATTAATGAGCTTAAACAAACCTTATGCCTCTTTGGGGTAGAGCTGAATAAGTTTATAATCCACTTCTGCTACATTTTGCATTCAGACCAGCCTGTGGTTCATCTAGTGGTTGCTCAGTAATGCATAGTAAGCGATCTGCATCTCCCATTTTCAAAATAAAAGCCCCATATGCATAGTAAGTTAAATGTAAAATAAAAAAATAAATTTAAAATAACCAAAGGACAAATATAATCACTGTTGTCTCATTGGGAAATGTTATTGCTTATCAAACACAGCTTGAGGTGGCATATTAATGATCCCAGAGCAACATTTCAGTCTGTGTTTTGACTAGTGATCTGATTACCCGACTGATCCGAATGTGTCCCGTGAGTCACGCAACAGTCTGTTTTGTGTTCTGACTGGCCTTTTGTTCAGCAGGAATTTACACTCATGTAATTTACATGAGAACAATGGTGTCTGAGGCTCATATTTGATGTTATTTGCATTTCTTAATATTACCCAGTTTTTTCTTTATAGCGCACCTTTAAAGCAAACAAATTAGATGGATCAATATCTGAACATAGACCAGTATGACAAGAACTACCGACAATGGCAGACAACATCTTTGGGACGTTTTTTTATTTGAAAGGATATTTAATTAAATTAACTTTTTCATTGTTTTATATGATGAGGTGTGGTGCATCCAGCCACTAGGGGGTGATCAAAATGTTTTAGCCTTACAGTTGAGTGAAGCACACACTTCAGAGATTTCTTCTTATGTTAGATTCACACCAGATGCAAAGCATTGTGTCACATTCTCTAGATTATTTGTGGCATGTTTTTCATCTTATGTGGATTTCCCGCTTGGGATGAATTTTTAAAACGTGTGCAGAAGACATTGTTGAGATAAATTGTGCAGCAGGCCTTTTTCTATTTATATTTTGTACCAAAATAAGTAAGGTATAATCAACGTTTGCCATACTTTAAGTTAAGGATAAAGTACAACCAGCTGGTTGTTAAAGCCTGGCACTGATTGATCCTTATTGGCAGCCTGATGGAGGGTTGTTGTACCATATAAGACGGAAGGGCTTTATTCTGTATAAAAACAACCATGCTGGATGTACTTTATCCCAGTTATTGAATGGCTAATTGCCACTGTTACGATTTAAAAGATGTTAAATAAAGGGGAAGAGGAGTAACATTAACTTTTGGGTGAAACACATAAGCAACCACACAACATCAATAAATGAGGGACAAAAACCAAGACCAGCTAAATGCAATACGTGATTTTATTTACAAAAATAGTGATAATAATGAATGCCAAAAAAAATGTGTATAGAAAGATTCTTGAATATTTACAAAGAGACATTGAATTTCACAGATAACAAATGACATAAGACGTTTGACCAGATATGGGAGAGTTGGAGAAATGAGACGCGGGCGGCATCCAAACAATAAAAATAAATAAAACAAAAGCAATCTATTTGGCCCAATCTCTACCCTATCTATCCAAAATAAAAATGCAGAAGTTATTGAAAAGAATCTTCGCGTCTAATACGCACTACCTAACCTACGCTGATCTTTGATGGGAAAACCAAAAGTACAGTGGGTGGAGCACGCCCCTTACCTAGTGTGTCTAATACAGAGATTTTCAAGCTACTTGTGCACAATGTATGTCGCACGACATTCTTACCTGTCCCACTCTCCAACCTCAGATGCGCATGACATCGACGGTAGACAAATGGAGAACAAATAACGGACAGATACCAAATTGTAACACACAGTAGACATATATCAAAAAAACACAGACACACAGCACAACACAAATTCAGGGCCTCCAGTGTAGCGTCCTGTCACCACTTTTATGCCACGGTGGCAGCGGCTGGATTGGAGACCTTGGATGACGTCAAGGGGGGCACGGCAAACAGCTGGGCAGCGGTAGCCAATCGGAGCCACTGTATAGGTGGAAGCGGGAGAGAGGTAGAGAGCAAGCGAGCACAGAGAGAGAGAGAGAGAGAGCGAAAGAAAGAGACTAGCGAGAAAAAAAATATATATAAATAATAATTACGCAACAGAGAAATGTACAGGAATGTAACAGCCACAAAACATAAAAATCGGACACAAAACATTGTTCTGAGCCATAATAGTTCATAATTCTTTTATTATATGCAAAGCTTACAGAAACAGCTGAATAGACCTGATGGAGCACACACTAACATGTACATTATTCAATCATAAGATGGCTCCAAACAGTCAAAAACACAAAGCTGACAGAAACTGGTTAAATAAAGCATATACTAACCTATGTATTATTCATTTACAAGATGGCCCCAAGCAGTCAAATAAAGCAGTGCGACTGCAGATACCGAACATATGAATGTGGATTTAAATATACAGATGTGTACTAAAACCTATTCACTGACGGTCAAGGTGACTCAAAGCCTGCGTTAACTGTGCCGGCTGTTAACTGGGAATAACATACCATAGAATGTTGCGACTGACTAATTGGAATTAAATATCCCAGACAGCCATGTAATAATTTATATATGCACGATGCCTAGTCAAAGAACCAATCTACGTGAAGCAAGCCATTGAATATCCAGCTTATTCTGTGGATCTGTGGGTCATTTCCTGGCCATTGTTGCCACTGGCTTGCTTGGTTTAGGATATGTAGAGCTGCACATTGATGGATTTGCTCTTCAGTGTTTGGACTTTCAGCAGTAAAAATTAGGCTGCTTTTACATCTGTAGTTCGCTTCATTTGGTCTGGACCAAAGGCAATAAATAATACATTGTTGCATTTTCTGCCATCTTTGGGTCGTTTTCACACTACACTGCTGGCTTTGGTCTGAACCAGTTAAAAAGAACCAAAATACACTCATCTGACTAAATCCACATCTCTCATTGGCCAGATGTTGTTGAACATAGTTCCTAAACTGCTTATCGATTGGTCAGAATTCACGTGTGGGAAAATGCCAATGAACTCCCACAAGTAAACAAACCGGCAGACACAAAATGTCACTTTTTACTATTGAGGGACGACTGCGCTGACTGATTATATCCCTCCTTTAAACAAACGATACATTTCGAGAATGAAGCGCGGCTGGAAAACAATGTTTAAATGCATTGCACGTCACTTAAGGAGGAGGCATGAATTAATTTAGCTAAACTGCGACATGGTCATCTTGTGGAAATATTAACAACGATCCATCAGGTAATAGCCATTGTCATAAGACGCGTCTCAAACTGCGCACTGTACACTATGCACTCATGCACTATGTACTTACACACTCAACAGCATAGTATATGTATTTAGTGTTGTCCCAAATGGAGCACTAATTTTTTTTCTAAGCGGAAATTCAAACCGTTTCTCTGATGACGTTTGACGGTTGCCAAATTAGTGAAATAAATGACCAAACTAACAAATAATACATGCTATGAGTATAACCGCATTCACCATCGGGAGGCGCTATAATCACTCAAGTAAGAAAATTTTGCTTTCACCATTCAAAATAAATAAAGTTATCCAACATGTGTGTCCGATAGCTCCGCCCCTTCTGCTACGTGAGCAAACCTGCGGTCGTTGAGTGCGTGACGTGTCCATCATTACACACTTCATTTTGAATGAGTGCATCATCCGGGTAATTAAAGTGTACTTATTATTTATAGAGTTTTCAGTGTGAACACACTACTTACACCGTTTATACTACAAAATGCCATAGACTAGTGCATAAGTATGCGATTTGAGACGCAGCTATAGTGTTTCCTTCTCTCTCTCACTCTGTTGGTAAAGCGCTGTCAACAAATATTTTTCCTCCATATCCCATAATGCACAACGCATCGACCTACGGCAGCTGGATTAGTCCAAAAGGCGCATTACTTTTTGTGGTTGGGTCTGTTTTAGTTCGGATCATATTCTCACCACAAACTAACCGCTCCAAGGTTAATTTGAAACCGTACCAAGACCACCTCTTCAAGCAGGTCTCAGTACGCTTTTTTGGTCCGCTTTTGGTGGGCGCTCGAGTACGATTGCTGCATTCACACCTGCCCAAACAAACCGCACCAAGAGGGAAAACGAACTCTAGTGCGATTCAACTGAACTAAAGGCAGGTGTGAAAGCACCCTTGCACACTAAACTGAACTTCAACTCTGAAAACTGGACTGACAGTTTCAATTTACTAGAACTTTTATGTTAAGCTGCTTTGATACAATGCACATTGTAAAAGCGCTATAGACATAAAGATTAATTAAATTAGTCATTTGCCAAAGAATAGAGAATTGTAGGCTACATCTTTGCAAATATTTTTGAAGATAGTGCTAAGGTGGTGGATCCCCGTCAGCTCCTGCTTCCTGATTTATGTTGTGGTTACACTGAGGAAGGAAGGCTCCAGCAAATGTCACCGAGTTACTGTGGTTACTACTATCGATTGGGGGTAGCGCATCTATTTTAAACTTCATGGGTTGTTGCTATAAAGGATACAGCTGGAAGCTAATGAGAATTATTTATTAACCCTTTCCATTAATTGTATTTTATTAACATCTACCTCAACCATCACAGCAGGGCCGGAGTGGGACTCCTTTTCAGCCCTGGAGTTTCAAGCCTCACGCCTGTTTCACACCGCAAGCGTCAGCGGCGCGTGAGCAGAGCGTGAGCAGCGCGTATGTCGAGCAGTAGCAGCACGCAGGCGTTTGCCTTTCACACCAGCTGCGTCTGCAGCGCGCAGCTCTTCGGCAGCTGCTGCTGAGATCAACCTATCTGTCTATTCTATCTAGTTACCCCTCTATATACAAATACACTTTTTAAACTTTTCATCTGTACCAAGGCCCCTCCTATGCTGTTTCATTAACCTGCAAATGTTTATTTTACAAATTTTATACATCAAATAGTACTGTATGCTCAGGGCCGGATTAACCAATGGGCCTTATGGGCACAGGCCCAGGGGCCCGTGCGCACTAGGGGCCCCTGCGAGGGGGGAGAAAAAAAGACAATTTCGGAGTGTCTTTTTAGGCTAATTGCAAATAGCGCATCCAGTTGGACTAAGCTATTCAGGGTTTACGCCTATCGATGCCTGATTGATAGAGACAAGATGAATAAAGAGCAGTGAAATAATACAGCCGCAGTGGCGCACCTTGTAAGGCACACAGCACCAACTTTTGACGCGATTACACATAACATCGGTTCGAATCCACCATCAGTTGAACTCGTGCTACTTTTTTTTCTCCCCATTACATATCAGATTGGAAATATATTTATTTTTAACAGGAAAGAAACATTTTTTAAAAATAATGCAAATGTGATATAAAGTCTCAAGTGTCTCGTGGGTATTTAATAATGTTTAGCCTTATTATACGCGCCTGCCGCGCCTCCCTCTCTTCAAAAACTCTATTGCTCAGACAACTGTATTTCCTCTGAGCAAAAAAATCGCGATCACATATTAATATTATTATTATATTTAAATTGCCTTTCTTTCTTTAACTAAACAGAATGCTGTAATTGGTCAAGCGCGGAAACGTCAGTTTTGTAATAACCCGCACTAAACTGAGCGGACTTTATCTGTCATAGATCAAAAATGAGTGGACAAGTGGATTTAGCAAACGCGAGAGAAAGAGGAGAGGAGGCATCTTTATTGAGGCATTTTCCATACACACCTTCTTTAAACAGACCCGTGATCAGGAGAATGAGGGTACAGAAGAAGACGTTATGGTAACTTTAAATGATGAGAAGCTAGCATTAACCAGAACGGCAGCGCAGCGCGGACTGGATTCATCGTGTGAGAGACAGACAGAAAGGGAGAGAGAGAGGGAGAGAGAGAGAAAGGCCAAGAAGAGGAGAGAGAGGGGAGAGAAGAGGTATAGTGTCTGTGATTTCGGATACTTTTAGGTTTATAATCAAGTTTTCATCACGAGAAGAGTAGAGAAAATACAGGGAGAGGAGAGAGACAGTAAATCAGTGTTTGTATTATGAAAGACTCAGATTCATAGAACTCAGATTCATAGAACTGGATTGGAGAAGCATTGTGCGTTATATGCCATGGCAATAATATGCTTTATAAGTTTGTAAAAGCAATACACTAAAATACCCTTAAAAAAAAAAAAAAAAAAAAAATATATATATATATATATATATATATATATATATATATATATATATATGTAGTTTTATTAGTATTTCTATTTAATGCTTTGAAAAATAATTTAAATCTTTGCAGACTATAAATACATATGTACTATATATCATTTATTTAAATATGTGGGCAACAAATTATAGATTAATTTTATTTAAAAATTATTATATTATTCTTATTTTTTAAATTCAACTATTGGGGTGCGGCCAGGTAGGGGGCCCTACAATACAATGTGCCCAGGGGCCCCTGAGTTCTTAATCCGGGCCTGTGTATGCTTCTAAAGCTAACTTATATGAGAAGTGTCTACAGTCAGAAGACAATCGCCTGTGATATCATGTCATTTGTTTTTTGATTATCAGGTTGCTGTAGACCTAGTTATAATCATATTTATACAATATAGGCCTAGTTATAATGATATTTATACATGATCAAACTAGTGTTAATTTCTCCGCTTCAGTGATGTCCAGCGGCAGAATAACAGCTCGTTAATTCATGCTCGTGCAGATGATGAGACGGACAAAAGTAATTAATGCATGCCATTCTTTTACTTATTTTCGTGTTGTCAGATTCACAGAGCAAACAGCTCCCGGTAGGAATAACTCGAGTGAACATAAAACAAAGCCGATTAAAACTTTCTTGCTCTGCTAGCTGCACAGAACACAGCGAGCTCACATAATCCAGCATGCGTGTCGCACTACACTACCCACAATACACTTCGCTATGGACTACAAATCCCGTAAATATTCCATTTCCCCTCTCCTACCGCACTAGTGTGCAACTTAAGCAAAACTGATAGTAAAATTGTTTTACATTTGGTTTTGTAGTTCGGGCCTAAATAAATGTTTGTTGCCGTTTTTAATCGTTTTAAGTTCATTTGAATGACTATATATAAACCATTTGACATTATTAACGCATTTATTGGGTAAAATTGTTAGTTTTTACTGTCATTCAATGTGTTTTGGTCATTCTCAATGCACTGTCACTTTAATTGAGCGTGAGCAGCGCGTCAAAAATAGACCCAGCGCCGAAACTATCGCTGCACTGCTGCTTCGGCGACGCTCACGCCTCGCTCTGACGCGCTGCTGCTGCGTGCGGTATGAAAGCTCTAATCTGTTAACATGGACGCCGAAAACACACGCGCTGCTCACGCTCTGCTCACGCGCCGCTGACGCTTGCGGTGTGAAACAGGCGTCAGACCGGCCCACCTCAGTTCACGACTGACTATATTAAAATAAGGTCATTTCCAATTCAGTTTCTAATTACACTATCACGTCTTTTTTTTTTTTTTTTTTTTTGAGAAAACAGCTGCTTTAGAACTTCAAATGTTCAACAACCCAAACAGTATTATATGTCTCAACAATAAAAATGAAAATAATAATTTACTCAGGCAAGGATCAAACCCGGGTTGGCGATGTTGTAATCTAACGTGCTAACCACTGGGCCACAACAGTTGTATAGTAAGAGGTGACTTATAACATTATAAACCTGCAGGCTGGTTATATATGAAAAGAGCAGAGAGCTGTTTTAAATTAATGAATAAGAAGACTGTGGTCAAGTAAATAAATAAATTAATATAAAAAGTGTGACTGCTGAGAGCAACAGATTCTGGAGCTAGGGACACCGGCCCTCGCGGCCAAAAAACGGACCGGCCCACCGGGAATTCTCCCGGTCCTCCCGATTAGCCAATCCGGGCCTGCCTCACAGTAATGTAAAGAATTATTTGTATTATTTATTAAATTACCCTAATACATTTTATTCTATTAAAGTCTACCCCTACCCCAACTCTAAACCCAACCCTCACAGTATTGTAAAAAATTATTTGTATTATTTATTAAATTACCCCAATACATTTTATTCTATTAAAGTCTACCCCTACCTCAACTCTAAACCCAACCCTCACAGTAATGTAAAAAATTATTTGTATTATTTATTAAATTACCCCAATACATTTTATTCTATTAAAGTCTACCCCTACCCCAATCCTAAACCCAACCCTCACAGTAATGTAAAGAATTATTTGTATTATTTATTAAATTACCTAATAAATTTTATTTTATTAAAGTCTACCCCTACCCCAACCCTAAACCCAAGCCTCACAATAATGTAAAAATATGTATTATTGTTCTATTGTCACAAAAATGATGCTATACAGAAGTGAGGATCTTGAGCTGACTTTGCCAACTATATGGGCATTAAACAATTTTACTGCACACCTTCCAGCCAATCAGATTCAGGAATTTTAACAGACCATGGGATAACAGAAAAAATGATAATAACCATGATGTTAGTCAGTGGCCCATTATTAATTATTCCACACTTGCAATGTTTTCTCTCTATCAGCACTCTTGGCAGTCAAAAGCATAAGGACTCTTTGGGAATAACGAGATGGTCTTTAGCCTCTCGTCTGGCTCCAGAAGGGGCTCCGCGATCACACTCTTCTGCAGAGGACTTCGAGCTCCGAGCTGCTCTGGAGGAAAGCAGCATGAAGAGAGCAGAACTCGTCCAGAGGCTCCGAGAGGCCAGAGGTCACCTGGATGCTCAGACAGACCTTTTGAAAAGCAAAGGGTTTCAGCTTCAAGAAAGCAAGAGCCTCTCTAACCTTTTGGACATAAAGCACAAGGTATGGATACATATGCGTGATCTGAATTTTTAAAGATGGTTTTATTTGACACTGGTCTGATTGACTGAGGCATCTGATGGGATGAAAAGAGGATCTGGGGAAAGGAATGAAAAGTTACACTTTAAAAAAATCCTGGATTGTTTTAATCAGAATTGTTTTCTTTTTTAAGAAGAAAAATGTAGTGTTTGTCTATATTTGGCCCACAACTGATATATTTAATATAATATGAGTGACAATTACAAGATATTAACTGACCATTGTTTATGTAAATTATATGCACAATGGCAAGTTATTATCTTAATTATCTTAATATTTTTTGAGAGTTCTCAGTTTTATGTCTCTACCACAGAAAATATAAAAATATATCTGCAACATATTAAAATTCAGACTATTTTTGTCATAATTGCAAGAAAAAAGGTCTGAATTTTGACATGTTGCAGTTTTATATTTTCTAGTGGTTGTGAGATTTCTGCTTTGGTGAGATTATAATTTCCATTTGTTGGATTTAAACTATAGCAAAATTAACAATCAAATAAAAAATGCTCAGAAATCAGTTCTGCCTTTTCCAAATGGACTCCTATAAATAGGCTAACATTTTTTGTGTTCAGTTAGAAAACTAATCCGAACGTATGCTAAGTACACTTAGTTACAACACTAAAAACTAGTTATCTAGGTAAGTCCTGTGTGTAGGTTTAGTCATTTTACATTTATGGCAATGAATAGTTTCTTTTCATTACCTTTAAAGTGAATTATCTGAAAAAACACTCACTGGCAACTTTATTAGCAACACCTGTCCGACTGCTCGTTAACGCAAATTTCTAATCAGCCATCACATGGCAGCAACTCAATGCATTCAGACATGTAGACATGGGCTGTTTCTCAATTCCAAGAACGCAGAGACCAGACTTGTGTTCGTGTGGAGACCGGTCTTGCCAGGTGTCCTCGGAAGAACGAACTCAGGAGACCGCGAGGGCAGAGAACGCGTCCTTTGAGAATTGAGATGCTGCGTTCTTCCTGATGGTCACATGACCTTCACGTGTTTTAAATGTTAAATAATTTAAACAGTACAACGATTAATTGTTTTTCCCTTTTAAAAATATATACTTTGCATAAAAACATTATAAATATATGTTGCACAATATAAATAAAACAGATTTTAATACAAATTTCAGCAAACAAACACCCTTAAAGTGTTTATTCCTTTGTTAAGATGTCCATGTTAATGTTTACTTTCACCGTTTCATTTAGGGAAACTCCTGAGGTAAATATCTATGAACTTTACTAATACATCTAGATAAAATGCAATGCTTCCCACCTCAAGTCGCTATGACTTCTGGGACTTCCAGAGCGAGTTCGGTGCTCAAGTCTGCATCGGTGGGTCCTCGATATCAAGAACACATCCAGGAAGTTTCACACGTCCTCCGTGCTTGCGGTCTTGAGTATTGGAACTGGATCTCACGAGAATACGATGATGCAAGACCACTGAAGAACGCATATTGAGAAACAATCATGGTCAAGACGATCTGCTGCAGTTCAAACTGAGCATCAGAATTGGGAAAAAAAAGTGATTTAAGTGATTTTGACATGGCCTGGTTGTTGGTGCTAGACGGGCTGGTCTGAGTATTTCAGAAACTGCTTATCTACTGGCATTTTTACGCACAACCATCTCTAGGGTTTACAGAGAATGATCTGAAAAAGAGAAAATATCCAGTGAGCGGCAGTTCTGTGGGTGCAAATGCCTTGTTGATGAGGTCAGAGGAGAATGGCCAGACTGGTTTCAGCTGATAGAAACACAACAGTAACTCAAATAAGCACTCGTTACAACCAAGGTATGCAGAAGAGCATCTTCTGCACAACACATTGAATATTGAGGCAGATGGGCTACAGCAGTGGAAGACTACACTGGGTGCCACTCCTGTCAGCTAAGAACAGGAAACTGAGGCTACAAATTAAGATAGACAATACAATAGAAGATTGGAAAAATGTTGCCTGGTCTGATGAGTCTGGATTTCTGCTGCAACATTTGTATATTGTCAGAATTTGGTTAACAACATGAAAGCATGGATCCATTCTGCCTTGTATCAAGAGTTCAGTCTGCTGCTGTTGATGGTGTAATGGTATGGGGGATATTTTCTTGGCACACTTTGGGCCCATTAGTACCAACTGAGCATCATGTCAACGCCACAGCCCACTTGAGTATTGTTGCTGACCATGTCAATCCTTTTTATGACAATAGTGTACCTGTCTTCTCATGGCTACTTCCAGCAGGATAATGTGATTTGTCATAAAGCGTGAAAAATCTGAGACTGCTTTTTTAAACATGACAATGAGTTCACTGAACTCAAATGACTTCCACAGTCACCAGATCTCAATCCAAAAGAGCACCTTTTGGATATTGTAGAAAGGGAGATTTGCATCAGGGATGTGCAGCCAACAAATCTGCAGCAACTGTGTGATTCGATTATGTCAATATGGAGCAAAATCTCTGAGGAATATTTCCTCAATATTTCACAAACTACAAAATCTTACTAGAAAAAATAACTTCTATTATACTCAAAAGTTCACCTGCAATATAAATCAAAACTGTGTATTGCGACTTCCTGATGCCTCCTATAAGTCGCTTGAGAGGCAGTGCGGGTCCTTTGAATTTGTGAAGCGCTGGTGGCTTTAGACAGACACACTGAGCCCAAGATGTTATAAGGAAAACTTTATGTAAGCATGACAAACAATACAGCAATTTGTGAGTTGAATACCGGTTTTGTATGGAGCTGATTATTGCTTTGTAGTGATGGTTATTGCGTGTGTCGTTGCGTTGCGATGCCGTTTGCGATGCCGTTTTGCATGGCTGTTTTGCGGTCAACAAAAAATACGGCTACCCCACTCTCCTTCTCTTCTCCTAACACCTGTGTGATTGTGCACGCGCTTTATTTGTTCTAGCAGGTTCCAGTTATGCCCACGTGACCAAAACATAAAACGTCTCTGTGAAAACCAAAACTAATCAGTATACAAATAAACATTATAATTTAATGAAAAGTAATATGGCTCCTATACTGTGAACTACTTGCGCACTTAAAATTTACTACTGTTAAACTTATAGTACACTTAAAAATATACATTTATATACTAAAAAGAGGGTTAATTTAGTGCCAAGCGATATTTAATTAGTACACTTACAAGTATACTACTGGTAAATAAATGTTAGCTTATTCTTTGTACATGAAGCACACCTTGAAAATGTAATTTAACATTACTTAAATATACTTCATAAAATAAGCTTGAAATGTACTTATTTTTTGTAAGAGTGTAGGAAATATAGTCAGAGTTGTGAGATTAAAGTTTGCAAATTAGCTTTCATATTTCAGAGTCTGCTTTTTTCAATGAACCATTATGCCTGTTGAATTTTCTTCACAGCAGCTTTCTGAAGCAGTAAAAATTCTTGAGCAAGACAAAGGAGCTGTGGAGATGAGTCGCTTTGAGGAGAGTCGCCGTCGTAGAGAATTACATGATAAGTGAGTTATACTGTAGACTAAACTAACATTACAGGTTTTTTTATTGGTTTGGATTGATTTTCATAAGTGAGGTGTGCTCAAGTCTCTAAACTGATAAACTACACTGTTCATTCTTTCCAAAATGATGTCCTGATTTCATTGCACTTAGTTTCACATATTTTCATTCAGTAATCATTGTTTCAGAACACTTAATCATTGCGATATATTGAGTACATTTGGTTTACAGTTTAAAAAAAAAATTCTTCAAAATGGTATTATTTGGGTGGCACAGTAGTTCCGTGGTTAGCACTGCTGCCTCACAGCAAGAAGGTAGCTAGTTTGAGTCCTAGGCCAGATGACATTTCTGACCAAAAGAAACACAGACCAAAGACATGCACTATTGGTGATTTGAATGAACAAAATTGGCCATGGTGTATAAGTGCGTGTATGAATGTTAGACTGTATGGGTGTTTCCCAGTACTGGGTTGCGGCTGGAAAGGCATCTGCTGCATAAAAACTAACATATGCTATAATAGTTGGTGGTTCATTCCGCCATGGCGACCTCTGAAAAAGAGACTAAGCCGAAGGAAAAGGAATGAATGAATGGCATTATGTTAACAAGTAAGATGTACATTTTCAAATCTCTTAGTACAATAATTTAAACAGTTCACACTTATAACACCGCTAGTCACTTTTTCATATCTGATCTCATCGTTTAATTGTAGTTGCACATATTTCAAAAGTTTTTATCACTTTAGTGGCAACTTTCTTAGTTTATCAACTTAAACTCTGTGGACCGTGACGTCATCGAATTTCGCTTTCAGATTTAAAGGGCTAGCGTTGCACCAGACCCCTGTAAGTGGTGTCGTTTGAAAGTGTAGAATCTATATTTTATGCACATACAGTATGCATCACTTTGGTTTTTATTCTACTGTGTAAAAGTTATTTACACTTTAAATACACAGTATTTTGGATACCCGAGCTAGGTATTTTACATTGGTTCATTTTCATATTTTTTATATGACATATGTACAAGTTATAGCTCAAATGAAAGCTCTTGCCGGTGCTCATACAGTTCTAGCATTCTTTTTACTCAATTATATTCATATGCCAAACAGTTTTTGAATGAATTGTGGTGTTTCCATGGCGCAGAAATGTAAACAATACATTCATGATCAATAAGCAGCCCCAGATAGCACAGACAGCTGTCATCTCTTACCATATGCTGTGTGCTTCAGGGCCATTCTCCTCTGTTTTTGAGGTGATGTGCATAAGTAATCCTTTTATATGTCTGATGTGGTTCAAACACAGTGAATTATGTTTGATCAAACAAAAGAATAGTGAAATATGTAAACAAGGATCGGTCTCTGTGGCTTGTACAGCACCTCTCATCAGTTGGAATGCAATACCTTTTGCATAGATTATGGTAGAGACATTTTTCTTTTTTGCTATGATTACAGACATGTGCAGGAACCACCAAAATTAATTACAGCACGCTAGACCACACAGAACCTAAAAGGTACACTTTCAAATTTGAGTTTATAAAAAAAAAAAATACAAAAAGCCCCTTTTTTTAAGGTGTTTATTATAACACAGACGACATATACAGTTATTTTAAACACTTTAAATAGTGTTAAAATGATACCTAATTTTTGCATTTACACCTCTGCATGTGGATTTGGGAAGCTTTTAAATTTGGGTAGGTAAAATCCAGGAGGAAATCCCCAAATAGCTGCAGAGTTTAAGTGGTTATTGCAGGATTTTAAAATATTTTTATACATTTATTGTGTTGCTTTTGCTGTGAAATGTACATAAATTTACACAACCTAATTACTTTTTAAATTCAAGACTTCAAGTTGGTAATTTATATAAAGGGAACAAAGGAGGAACAAAGAGAGAAGTGCTTACCGCTTAACCCTATAAAGTCTGTTACATCATTTTGATGCGTTAATGAATGACTATGAAAAAACTAAACGGTTATTGATGTTTAATCAATCAATCAATCAATCAATCAATCCACACACTATTTGATTTGATTTTTAGTGTTTGGAAGATGTTTGTCAAAAGAAATTACTATTAAACGGTCTGCCTTTTCGGTGGTGATTTGCATTGGTTTACATTGTGCGCTCATGGGTGGGTCCAAAAACACGGTGGAACGCAACTCTCCTTGACGCAGATTCCCATTCTCTATACACAGAAATGAAGGAAGTCATGCTTATAGTGTATATCTTTTAACATTTCAGATTTAAGTCAAATTGTTTCAAAAGAAATGTATTTTTTGTGTTAATTTAACATGTTGATTTGCCTAATGTTAACTTAGAGTTCTGCAGCTCGAGTTGGACATTTTGAAGATGAGGTCCAACCTGGAAACTCTGTCCACATCAGTGGATCCACTTAGCAGAACTCTGCCTGATACTAAAGACCAAATCCGCAGAGAGGTAGAGCTTGCTGGGAAGGATAAAAACTTACAATTTTAGTACTTTTTGTGTGCTAGATTTTTTTATAATGTTTGCTATGTCCATCAGAGACAGAAGCAGGCTGAGAAGGAGATAAAGAAACTGAGAGAAGCTCTTAGAAAGGCTGAGGAGAAAACAGATGAGCTGGAATATGAGAAAGAACATGCACTGAAGCAGCTTCACTCCTCTGATGAGGTTCATTTTTAATTGTTGTCAAAGTATATTAAAAGGATAGTTCAACCAAGAATAAAACTTCTAATGTTTTTATGATGTCATCTGAAGTCATTGTTAATAATAATAGTAATAATAATAAAAAAACAGCTTTCTTAGAATTAAAAAAAAAACGTTCTGTGTTTTTGTTTGTACAAAGGAAGTTAAAATGAGGCTATTGTTGTTAACCAAAGCTAACCAAAGCTAAAAGTGTGGAAACATCTGATAATTTCATAGAAAAAAAAAATTAGAAATTGAAACAGAATACATTAAAGCACTGCAATAACTGTTAAAATTGTATAAAAATATTTATGGTACAGGTATTCTAATTAAAAAAAAAAAAAATAAATAAAAAACATTATGGCTAAAATATTGTTCAGAAATTTACTTTAAAAATTATTTTGTCAGAATTTTTTCCTGTTCCATAGAATAGAAAAAGTGTTTTGACCATATATAATAAAGTAATTTTAACTAAAAACATTTTTGTTCATTCAAATGAAGCTGAGGTTATTATTTTTTTTTTATTAAAATACGCAAAAATATATAAAAACAATTGCTAACTTCAGAAATAGAACTAAAAGGTAAAATGAAAAGGCATTTAAATGATGTACTATATATATATATATATATATATATATATATATATATATATATATATATATATATATATATATATATATATATATATATATATATAAAACCTTTTTTAAAAACAAAATAAGCATTTCTTTGCTCAGATTTCTTTCTGTGTTCCACAGATGTCATAATTTAAAAAATCTAATTTGATCAAATAAAACAGTTTATTTTTTTAACAAAAACAAACATTTAATTTAATTAAAATTGAGCTCAAAGTAAAAAAAAACTAAAACAAAATGACAAACTAATTGAAATTACACAAATATTTGAACTTGTATATGCATTGAACATTAAACATTTTATTGATTTTTTCCAATTGGCAATTCAACTAAATCACAAAATAAAATAGTATTTAGTTTTGAATATGAAAATGAAGACCTTCTTCCTGACATTTTCCTTTAAAATTTGCATTTGTGATCAGCTTTACAGTAAAGAACAAAACTCTATTAAGTTTAAAATGTGTGCGATCATTCACACAGCTTAAAGAAGAGGCTGTAAACAAAGCAGGAGAGATGGAGCAAAGGCTGAGCAGCTCCATCCAAAATCAAGCAGAGCTAGAAGAGCAGCTCAGTGAGTCTCGCAGCCGGCTGGGACAAATGGAGCTGGTATGAACACAAAACTCTCAAAGTTTTCATTATGACATTCAACACCTCCAAATCAACCATTATCTACCACATCCTCAGGAAAAAGACCTGTTTTCTGCTAAGATGCGGAGACTAGAAGACAATCTGAATGACGTGAAGGTCAAACTGTCTGGAGCTTTAATGGACAAAGACCGTCTACTCCAGGTCTGCTGTATACATTTAATTTCTTTACACTGTTAAAAATAAAAGTGCCAGGGAGACCAAAAAGGGTTGTTCATCATGATGAAGTTGTTCATAGAAGAACCTGGCTCCCATGAAAAATGAAGAACATTTTTAATCATTTAAAAGATCCCTTTTTCACTAAAAATTATTTTTTTTGGATGATAATATTCCAACATCTTCATGGAAACACCCGTAGTGAGGTTTTTATGGCTAGCATGAAGCATATCTTTTCAAAATTTCACAAATAAACTGGAGAAAATGGATTTGCATTAAGCTGATAGAGCCACTCACTGTAGTATTGATAACCATAATGGAGTCACATGGGCTTAAAGGGCCATGACACCCCCCACTTTCGGTTAAAGTCTACTTCAGAATTTTTTCAAAAGATGCATGATTAATGGGCGTGGAGCTCCGTGAGCATAGGGTAGGAGTGGGCGTGGCCAGCAGGGGAGAAGGGGAGCGAACAACTGTTGTTGACAGTTAGCTCACAAAATGAGACAAACCGTGAGGAGACGCATGAGTCAAAGTTAAAATGCAAAGAAATAAACAGTAATTTAATGCCCTGCTACATTTTGTTATTCGTAATTTTATATACACATAATCACAATTTATATCATTATAAAGATAAGTGTGTTCATGTAAACACTATAAATGAGGATTCTCCCTCGATCCCCGGGTCTAAATTATAGATCTGAATGCAGACTCAGTGCAGCAGGTCTCCTGACCTGCCTATTTTAACCAATAGCCCTGCTGGTAATATAGAGGAATTTAGGCAAACACAGCAGCACGGCGATGTGTCTGAATGTGAACGAACTCCTGATAAAAGTCAACGTCCGCCGTTCTTTAATTCTCGTACTGCTCTCCCAACAAAAATGCTTGCAGCACACACACAGCTTTGCTGTATGATCGGCCCTGACAAGATTGCGGGGAACAAACATGCAACAAACCCCGTGGATCATGGAAACAAACACATACGAGCCTTCATGAACGGCTACTGCGTGCCGTGGGTCTGTGTCTCACAGCTTGCTTGAAACTGGCAGGTCTGCCTTGCCTTCGGAAAGCACGTGCTCTCATGAATAATCAAGCAGCAGGCTCTTCTCATAGGATGAGAAAACTCCGCTATGAATAATAATGAGAAACCGACGCGTCATCATTGCACTTGCAGTACTGCGATACGTTGCCGATTTTGATCCCGCCCCAAAAATCATTTTGTCTTAACTGATGCTCAACACACACACACATCTGTTAATATAAAAAAAGTTCTGCAGGGTGTCCTGAACCTTTAATATTTTCTACATCTGAGTTTATTCAGGACATTTGTCTCCATCTCTCTCTTTTCATATTAATTTCTATTCGCACAAGTCTAAAATCACCTCAATCAAGAATTTTTATTGCAAATTACTGGATTTTTATTTAAAAATTGTCATTTTCATCACTCGTTTCTGATACAATACTTTAAAATTCACATTAACACAGGGTGATGGGAATCCAGCAATTATTTTAAAGAGAATCTTTTGGAAATTATGGTAAATCTAGTTTTTCATCACACTGTTTAAAATATTTAAGACATTTATTCATTTTCAGAATACAAATAATTTTTTTTAGCTATATACGCACAAAAAAATTATATATTATTGCTTGTGATTACAAAGTCACAACAACATGTGTTTTTTTACTTTAAGTTGATCAAGTTTTAGGGTTGCATGGTGGCGCAGTGGGTAGCACGTTCGCCTTACAGCAAGAAGGTGGCTGGTTCAAGCCTCGGCTGGGTCAGTTGGCATTTCCATATGGGCGTTTTTCAGTGATTGGTTGCGGCTGGTAAGGCATCCACTGCGTATAATATATACCAGATAAGTTGGCGGTTCATTCCGCTGTGCAACCCCAGATTAATAAAGGGACTGAGCCAAAAAAGAAAATGAATGAATGAATAATCAAGTTTTAACTTTATTTTTTGAATAATACAAATATTAACTTGACATTTCAAGTCATTTTAATTATGCAAGCTGAAATTACTTACACCAGGGGTGTCAAACTCAATTCCTGGAGGGCTGCAGCCCTGCACAGTTCAGTTTCAACCCTGCTTCAACACACTAAAGCTGCGGTCACATTAAAGTCTAAGCGTGCGAAATTCTGTCGTGCGGCGCTACTAAAAAGGGCGGGCTTAAACAAGCTTATTAGATATTTTTAAAAGCGAGCGAATTTCTGTAGAGAGGTCATGTTTTGATCCTCGATTGAGGATGATGCGATTCCGCAAGTCAGGGTTCACCAAGCTTGAACTTTGCACCGCAGCGATCTGTGAAACTTAACGCATGACCCTGCGTTTCCGGTCGGACGCATTCACGTGCATATGAAATGAAGTCTATGGGAGAAAGCCCATTGTGACTGCAGCATTAAGCTCCAACCCTAATTAAACACACCTGATGGACTCAATAAGTTTGATCAGGTGTTTTAATTAGGGTTGGAACTAAACTGTGCAGAGCTGCGGCCCTTTAGGAATTGAGTTTGACATCTCTTACCTACACATTTAATTTTATTAAACTTGGACCCTGCTGAAAAATCCAGCTTAAACCAGCCTAGGCTGGTTGGCTGGTGTTAGCTGGTCAACCAGGCTGGTTTTAGAGGGGTTTTGGCCACTTCCAGGCTGGTTTCCAGCCATTTCCAGCCTGGTTTTAGCTGGTCAGGCTGGAAAATGACCAGCTTAATCCAGCTAAAACCAGCTTGACCAGCCTGGTTTAAGCTGGACATAGCTGGTTTTGGCTGGGCTCTCAGCCTGGCTAGGCTGGTCAAGCTGATTTTAGCTGGTCATCTCCCAGCCTGACCAGCTAAGACCAGGCTGGAAATGGCTGGAAACCAGCCTGGAAGTGGCCAAAACCCCTCTAAAACCAGCCTGGTCGACCAGCTAAAACCAGCCAACCAGCCTAGGCTAGTTTAAGCTGGATTTTTTAGCAGGGGATTCAAAAAAATTAAGCTGAACAAATGACTTCTGCCCTTTCCTTGACATTCTGTTCATCTGAAGTTATGATGCTTCAAATATTTGTCAAACGATTTTCTTTAAATCACATGGGTTTATCCAAGCAATGTGTCAAATTCTGCACAGTTTAGTTCCAACCCTAATTAAACACACCCGATCAAACTAATTGAGTCCCTCAGGCTTGTTTGAAACCTACAGGCAAGTGTGTCGGAGCAGGGTTGAAACTAAACTGTCCAGGGCTGGAGCCCTCCAGGAACTGAATTTGGCACACCTAGTTTAAATGTTAACGGATTTATTTGAACCTTAGGTAGACATTCTAATAATACTCAAATGGACCATCAAAATGAAGTGTCACCGAACCATTTTATAAAAAAAAAAAAAAAAAGAAAGGAAAAAGTGTGTTCATATTTATTTTATAGATTTATTTTTTTATCTTTTTATATATGTGTCTTATTTTTCCTGGCATTTCTGGGTTAAAACCCATGAATTAAAAACCACTAAAATAGATAAGTGTTTGATGTATTATTAATGATGATGCTTTATTGTCTGTAAAGGAGAAAGCAGAGCTGTGTCAGAAGGTCCAGAGTTTGGGTCTGCAGTTGCAGAGAGAGCAGAGGAGCAAACAGGACTTCAGTGAACAGATGTCGGATCTTCATTCTGAGCTTTCACAAGCTAAGAGCCAAAGCAGCAAACAGAAGATGGACACAATGCAGATGAAAGAGGAGCTGCTTTCAGTTAAAGAGGTCAGAGGTCACCCTTTATACCTATTTATACCCTTTACCAGATATACCAGATATATACTACTAGCCAAACGTTTGGAAAGTCTCCATTTATTTGATTAAAAACTGGAAACAATGAAAACTGTTTTACTGTACTGTGACTTTTATTTAGTTAAATGTAGTTTCAATTGTAATCCATTTTTGTGGTTTGAAGCTGAATTTTCAGCATGATTAGTTTTCAGTGCCAAAAAATCTTTCGAACATTCTTTCTTGTATAATGATCTGCTCAAGACTTATTATTATTATTATTATTATTACTATTATTATTATTATTATTATTATTATTATTATTATTATTATGTTAAAAAAGATTTCAAATAAAAGCGAAATAAAAAAAAAAACTTTTTTTTTTTTTTTTTTATCAAAGAATTTTAAAAGTTTTTTTTTTTTGTATCACAGTTTCCATAAAACTATGAAGCAAGCTTTGAATTACAGGAATAAATAAATTTTGAAACTACATTTAATAAGAAAACAGGTATTTAAAATGGTATAGTATTTTACAATTTATCAGTTTTCACTGTATTTTTGAGCAAACTGGTAGATATACAGTGCTGTGCAAAAGTTCCAAGCACTATATCAGTAAAGACCTTTGCACAATATATAATCAATCATCCTCTTTTAAAAAAAAAAAAAAAAGAAACTGAAAATATAGGCAATATGTATATAAAAAAACAACATTTCCTCTTCAAGCAATAGTCTATGTATAATATGGCTTAACTGTTTATTCTAATTGTCCGGACATTTTCTGAAATAATGTGTAATAATATCAGGCTTATTTTAGCAAAATTTCCAGAGTTCTTATTTAGGTTTAGAGTGTCATATCTTTATTTTCTGTCCAGGTGATCTCATACAGCTTCTATAATATTCAGGTCGGGACTGTGAAGGCCATCTCATGATTTATCAGCTGTTTTCTTTCTCCAAATAGGAATTCACAGCAATTAGCGGATCTTTATCATGCTGAAAATGAAAACTATTACCATTTCAGAAGGAATAGATTAAAACTGTTACAACACCTAATGAATGAATTTAATCCATTTTGGAATGAGGCTATAACATTAAAAAAATGTGGGTGTAAAATGCTAAGAATACTTTCCGAATGCACTTTACAGCCTCTTTGAACATTAAACATCGAATGTTGTCTTTCACATATCTTTAAATATTAAACCAAAATAATTAAAACTAACGTAAACTAGCTCCAATCCTAACAAACCATACATCAACTGTAAGATCATTTATTCACCCTGTATAAGTCTTAACATGTCTATTATACCATCAGTAAAACAATAGATTTAATGTTGTTGCCGTAAAACTTTTGCACAGCCCCCCTGAATTATTAGTGCCCTTGTTTATTTTTTCCCCCAATTTCTGTTTAATGGAGGGAAGATTGTTTCAGCATAATTTCTAAGCATAATAGTTTTATTAACTCATTTCTAATAACTGATTTATTTTATCTTTGCCATGATGACAGTAAATAATATTTTACTTGATATTTTTCAAGACACATCTATACAGCTTAAAGTGACATTTAAAGGCTTAACTAGGTTAATTAGGTTAACTAGGCAGGTTAGGGTAATTAGGCAAGTTATTGTATAACGATGTTTTGTTCTGTAGATTATCGGGGGAAAAAATTAGCTTAAAGGGGCTAATAATTTTGTCCCAAAAATGTTTTTTTTTTTTAAATTAATAACTGCTTTTATTCTAGCCAAAATAAAACAAATAAGACTTTCTCCAGAAGAAAAAATATTATCCGACATACTGTGAAAATTTTATTGCTCTGTTAAACATCATTTGGGAAATATTTAAAAAAGAAAATAAAAATCAAAAGGGGGCTAATAATTCTGACTTCAACTGTGTGTATATATATATATATATATATATATATATATATATATATATATATATATATATATATATATATATATATATATATATATATATATATATACACATAGTATTTTTTAGAACAAAGCTTTTTAAAACTTTTTAAAACATCTTGCATTGTGCAAGTATGTTCTAAAAACAATAATATGCTCAGCTTCCAGAAATGATCAGATGTGCTCCAACATTAGGCACATTCAAATCAAGACTGAAAACACATTTGTCTAGCTGTGCCTTTACTGAAAGAGCTCTGTGTTCCTCTGTCTTTATCTTCTTCTTCATTCTTTAATAACCTGTTTTTAACACATTTTAATCGTAATCCTATTTACTATTTGTTTTTATTTCCTTATACTTTTCTCTTTTATTCCTGTTTATGTAAAGCACTTTGAATTGCCACTGTGTATGAAATGTGCTATATAAATAAACTTGCCTTGCCTCTAAAGTACATGTATTTTTAAATATTTTGGGTCTTCAGTTGAAAGAAAAGCTGTCGTCTAACCTAACCAAGGCCACAGAGAGACTACAGGTGACCCTTAACCAGTTACACGAGCTGGAGGCGGAGAAACTAATCCAAACCAATCAGATTACAGCGCTGGAGACTGAACGCTTGCAGCTGATTGGAGAGAAGGAGGAGCTAAGGAAAACATTTGATGATGGTCTTCATGAAAAAATTAAGCAGCTGGGAGAGAGATGCTGCCAACTCAAGTATGAATAAACAAATATTACATAATATATAGATTGTTTAATTCTATTTCTAATCTGGGTTATTCCCGTCTCAAATCAAGGAAACAGCGGGACAATCTGGAGCAAGAAAATCAGCGTCTGCAATTCAAACGTAAAGAACTGGAACAAAAAATAGAAAGCCTGGAGGCGGGGCAGCAACACAAAAAAGAGGAGGAGCATCATATGTGGGCGGAGTTTGAGCGGGAGAAGGAGGAATTAAAGAAAGTGGCAGCTCACTGGAACGAGAGATGGCTGGATGTGGCGATGACGTTATGCTCAACTCAGGAAGAACTAGATGTGCTCAAAAGTCAACAGCAAGAGAAAGACGGAGTATGTTTTTGATTTAATCATTTGGGAAGTGTGTGGTCTTACTGTGTTTTACAAAGGACCACAAGCAAGGTCTGGAATTTTATTAAAAGTAAAGATTTCCCACTCTTTCCTAATGTTGGGATCAGACGGAAGGCAATACAAAAGATTGTATTCCATTACTTAAAGTCATCCTTATCGTTGGGCTTGTTGCTTTTATTTTTGTTTACCTGTTGAATACATGAAATGGTTGGCGGAGCTAAACTGTGATGTAGAAGTTGGTATTGATCATCTGTGGAACCGTATTTAGCCACAATCTCAGGTAGTTTCAGATCAAGTTTAATTTTTAATTTTTAATATTTTGGAAGCCATTAGCCACTGACATCCAAAGTAGGAAAAATAAAACTGTCTTACAGCAAGAGGCTGATGTATATATGTGTGTGTTTATAAATTTATAATGCATTTAAAGGTGGTTCTTTCATAATGTCAGTTTGTAACAATGTAAGTACTGTTAATGCTCAAACTTTCTTCATAGGTGTCTTGTGAAGACCTGAATGGAGAGCTGGAGGAGGAGCTACTTAGGTTGAGAGACATGCTGAAGGTCAGAGATGCTGAGCTGCAGTCTGTTCTCAATCAGGTGAGGCCAGCAAACCTGACCTGAGATCTGTGAAATCCTGAAGAAGGACGGACATCAGATTTTTTCCCCCATGTTTTTCAGGAGTCACAACAGAGTAATAAAGTCCAGAAACTGGAGAAGCTGCTCTCAAAGAAGGAAAAGGAATTGATGGAAAAGTATGTACATCTATCTATCTATCTATCTATCTATCTATCTATCTATCTATCTATCTATCTATCTATCTATCTATCTATCTATCTATCTGTCTATCTATCTATCTATCTATCTATCTATCTATCTATCTATCTATCTATCTATCTATCTATCTATCTATCTATCTATCTATCTATCTATCTATCTATCTATCTATCATCACATTAGTATAGATGTAGAGGAAATGTTCTGTGAGATGTAAATTAGTGACACAGAGATAGGTCCAATTTAACAGACGTAACATCTGTTGCTGACACAAGGAAATGTGCTCCAGAAAAATTATTCTAAAATAGGGAACCTATTACAAGATATAAAATAAGTCTCTGATCTTGAGTGTGTATGTGAAGTTTCAGCTCAAAATATCCCACAAACAAATTGTTTTATATCTGTTTGAAACATCCCTTTTTAGGTTTTGATCCAAATTGTGCTTGTTATGGTGACTGTCACTTAAAATTCAAATGAGATTGTGCACCCAGTGCTCTTTTCAAAAGAGGGCATTTCAAATGTCAATGCGTCAAGACTCAAAACAGAACCAACATTATCTCTATAAAAAACTGAAAATGTCAAAAGAAGTGGCTCAGAAGATAGAAGGTCTCATTATGAAAACGTACCTCTATATACATTTCTGGAGAGTGCCAAATACGTCCCAGGTACTGCGTTTTTTGCAGTTTTTGTGTTCACAAATCCTACAGAAGCCGCTGTGTATGCTTTTTGACATTTCAAATTTCTGTTGCTAGTGCCTTTTATGCCTGACTAAATGACTAACTGACCGATTGACTGACCCACCCTCCTCCTTCCCTAATCCCAACCAATAGTGTTTTCCCACCCACCCACTTCCCTAAATCTAACCGACAGTTTTAAAAAGCAATCCAGCAAAAAAGTCCCCTGATTTTGAGCACATTTTCAGATTTTACCAAATTCTCACCCTGTTATTTACTAGTTTATTTAATTTTTTGGATTCTGTTTTTACCCATTTGTTGGAACTGTTCTTTACCGAACTCAAACATCATTATGGTCAACTCCTCTGCGTCTCAAGTCTGCTGACCTACAGCGCAAGCTGACAGGACAAACTTGTAACCGCGGGAAAGCCATCCATACGAAGCACATAAAGAAACAGCGTCATACCACCCCATAGCGTTCAATTTAAAAACGAAATGCAGCCATATGTACTTCTAATTTGCAATCTCTAGAAATGTATATAGAGCGACATTTTCATAATAAGCCTATGTTGTTTATAACGCCTCTTAGATTACATTAACCATTAATTTCAGCAGGTAGGGTGCGAAACGACAGATGGCTGCTTCTCACTCTGGGGTGTTTATGCAAATGGGAGATATATCTGCATCAATGGGCAGGACTTTCCCCCTCTGATGACATGTACAAAGGGAGAATGTCAATAAAAGTGTTTCTGCTGACTGTTTTTATGAAATGTGATTATAAACATAGGATTCAAGCAGCGATGAAAGGGACCTCGCACCTGAGCTCACTGACACCCTGTGGCTTTATGATGACATAGAACAATAATAATTTGTGCTGATATATAAATAACTTAAGAAAATCACATATTTATTCCAAACTTCATTCTGTCAGCAGGTGGCGCTATGGCTGTGACTCAATATTGACATGCAGATGTCTTCAGGAAAGGAATCCCATCAAACCTGTGAACTTTTAGGCAGATCGAACATTGTGTGGCTGAGTTATAAGTACTTCCTTTTCCATGGCGATACACTGAATTTGTTGAATCTGCCACTGACATGCCCTTTGCCGAAAGCTCTAGATCTTCACAATTTCACATCACAAAGGCCTTTGGATTATTCTTACGAAACTTGGATTCGATCCGATAAATTTTGTAGGAGTTTGTTACACTGTAAAAGCAGCAGGTGGCACTATAACTGTAACAGGATAAACATTAAGATTTGTGAGGCTGCCACAAACACGTTCTTTGACGAAAACTCAAGATCTTCACAATTTAACATCACCAAGGCATTTAAGTAACAAAACCCTATTTTGGCGTTGATCTGATAAAATCCCTAGGAGTAGTTTGTTAAAATACAACGCCTACAAATAGAAAAAAAATTCACTTTTTTGGCAGAGAAAGTTGAAAAAATATCTAACTTCCTGTTAGGCTTGAGATTTTGCTCCAAGAGACTTTTTTGTAGGTTTTGGCTTTTTTTGATGTGTGTGCCAATTTTCGTATATGTGCATGAAACGTAGCGCAGGGGCCACTTTGTGCATAGGTGGCACTGTCGAGCCATTTTGCCACACCCACTTCCAAAACCTAGAACAAACGTAAATTCTTGCCACGTCTGGCACATGTGAGTTTTCGAGCATGTTTAGCCCCTAAAAAATGTCACTCGTTCTAGTGAAAAATAATAATATTGGTGCTCGGTCACTAATTAATACATTTTTGCAATAAGAGGCTGGCTATATTCACAATCTGTTCCCACACAACTGATTTTTGCACAGCAGGTCCCTTTTAAAGTCCCCATTAAATCAAAATGAAAGATTTTTGGGTGTTAGTGTCCATATTTTAGTCCTAAGGTAATCTAAAATCTAGTGGGCTTTAAAACAGTCTCAAAATTCACATTTAGAGGAAATAAACATTCAAAGCTTTACATTTGTTACTTACGACTAAGTTAAATAACAATTAGTTATTTGGTCACCTCATATTTCAGTTTCTCATCAAATCTCCTGACCAATCAAATGCTCTGTAGAACTTGGTTGGTCCCACTCCCCTCAAAACTCTATTGGTGATGCTGAAATTAGGGATTTATTCACGTCTAAGACTGTTCAAACCGAGGGATTTGCCTAAAAGCTTGCAAACATAACAAAATAAATAACAGTGTGTTGATTTGAACTCGAAAATATATTGCATGCACATATACAAAGTGTAGGTCAGCTTACTGTAAAAATGACTTAGAGTAGGGTGTGCTTATTTAATTTGACAATATTTCTGGGTCATTTCTGTCCTGTGACCAGTACTGGATTTGGAGGATGAGAGAGCTTCCGGATTTCATTCAAAAATGTCTTAAATTGTGTGCTGAAGATGAACAAAAGTCTCATGAGATTGAAATGACATGAAATTAATAAGAGTTACCTTTTTTTGCGTGAAGTAATCTTTAAATATACAGTTTGGAAATGTTCATCAAAACAAAGAACTGCATTTTATTTTTCAATGGATTAAAAAAAATTCACTACCTGAAAAAAGTCTTGTCGCCTTTCAAGTTTTAGGAACAACAAATAATAACTTGACGTCTAGTTGATTATTTGGTATCAGAAGTGGCTTATATGAAAGGCAAAGACTTCTAGATTGCACCTATTTTACAAAAACAAAATATGATCAGGCCTTGATTTTAATTATTTAATTAAGACAGTAAGGTCTGACTTTGCTTAGACAAAAGTCTTGTCAATTAAGGTATGACTCGGATAACTTCTTGCAGATAAATAAGCGTTCGTGCAGGACTCTCAGAGTTCAGCAAGATTTTTTGGATTTATCTTCAATGCCTCCTCATCCATCTTTCCCCAGACATGCTCAATAATGTTCATATCTGGTGACTGGGCTGGCCAATCCTGGAGTACCTTGACCTTCTTTGCTTTCAGGAAATTTGATATGGAGGCTGAAGTAAGAGATGGAGTGCTATCCTGCTAAATAATTTGCCCTCATCTGTGGTTTGTAATGTTATGGGCCACCAGTTGTCTTGATACCTCAGGCTGTTGATATTGCCATCCACTCCCCCATACTGAATATAACCTCAAATCATACATTTTTTTCTTCACCAAACTTGACTGATTTCAAGTTGAGAATCTTGGATTCAGTAGGTCTTCTGTAGTATTTGTGATGATTGGAATACAGTTCACCAGATGATAATTCATTGGAAAAAAATCTACCTGCGGACACTTTTCCAAATGATCATCTAGAAGTCAAGATGTTATTTGTTATCTCTTACAACTTTAATCAACGACAAAACTTTTGTTAGGTAGTGACAGTAAAACAGATAATTGTTCACTTTTTTTTGCCTTGCTACCACAGAGATCAAGATCTGAAGAACCTGGAGACACAGAGGATAACAGAGAAAACAGAGGCTCAGATCAAGATATCAGCCCTGGAGCAAGAGGTACAACAATGTCCATGACGTTAAAAGTTTCTCATGGCAGATCAGATTCTTATGATGTGGGTTCAGCGTTCAGCTCTGACTCTTTACCTCGGGCAGATTTTAGGACATAAAAGACATTCAGGACAGGAAGTGGTCAAGGAATCTAGTCCTGAGTCACTGTCGGCCCTGTTGGAAGGTATGCTCTCATGCTATGACTAAGTAAAGCCTGTTTTTGTTTTCCTTTCAGTTACATGAACACAAAAGATTCTACTTAACCCTCCTGTCATGTTCCCATCACACCCCTTACTTTAGTGTTGCCGGTCAAAATTGACCGCTCTGTTTTTACTGCTTTTAAATTAGCACGAAAAACATTTTTCACCACCAAATTTTTAATCAACATCATTTAACTGTGAACAATGTCTTAAAGTGGTGTTTAACATGAATTTATAGAATTAGACATAAAATAACTGCAGTGAAAATACAAATAGGCACTGAAAATGCATTACAAAATGAACAATAGATGACAGAAATCAAAATACTTTGCTTTGTTACCAATAAACAGCTTGCTAAAATAACTATCACAGCGTCTGACCAAAGAGATTGAAATTTAAACCCATTTGAATGATTTTTCAACCAGCAAAGCACCAACAAACGGTATACATTCCTGTGTATTGAGTGCTCAAACTTTCATTTAGTCCTTCAATTGCACTATATTAGTGTACTAATGTAGGGAATAGTGAATAAGTGTGTAGACGGTGATTAAGGACACAGCACTAGCGCTAGTTATACTCTGGCCGTTTTTGAGTGAGATGCTAATGGTCTAATCCAATGAAAACATTTATGCTAAGCTAAGCTAAAAGTGCTCTAGACCCAGAGATTGGTATGAATTTGAACAGTCTGAGGAGTGAATATAGGCTGGATACTCATTTATTTCCTATGGTGGTCACTTTTGACCGGAAACACCACAGGTGTAACAAAGTTGATTAAAACACTCAATTCAATGAAAGAAGTGATCATCACTTCTATATGTTTAAGTGCATAATGTGGAGGATATATTACGGTCTCATGGCAATCAGATGTAAAACACAATATTTATCAGTGTTTTCAGTTGTAAATCGGTCAGATTTGACCCGAACACAACAGGAAGGTTAAACACTCAGCTCAGTTGTTGAGTTCAGATATTTATCAGAATTCAAAATACAACATAAGTCATTAGTATGTGGATGAAGACTTGCATATGCAAGCTGGGAAACGCAGTCTTAGACATGCAATCTCAGACTCCGTGCACTCCATCGAGCAAGTGACATCACTGTGGGGGGTAGGGTAAGGGGTGGGGTTAGGTGTATGCATTAAAAGCATTTCTTGCAGCTGCATCTGGTCTGCATCCAGACCTCCTTGGACAAATAGGCATTTGCACTATGTACTTTATAGCTGTATTTAAAATTCTGCCCATGGAGGCAGATTTTCAACACAGAGAAACTTCAAGCAAAGTCACAATCCAAATTATGCTTTACTTCCTGTCTCATAGCTACCCTCTTCTGCTCGAATTTCAAAGGAAGCGTATTCTGTCCTTCTGTGCCTTTGTCCATTTCTGTCTGTCCATTTCTGTTAAACTAAAACATAACCATGATATCTTGAAGTGTTGCTTGGGTTTCGTTTTGTGTACATATACATCTGTGATCAATATTTATCATTTTTGTTGACATTTAGAAGACAGATGTTAGAATTGCAGCAATCACATATTCCCTTAATCAATACCAAAGCTTTTATTATTTAGTTGTACATGATTAAATCTTTGTTGTCTCAGAGGTCTCTCTGAAATCAGTTTTGCAAGGTGACTTCATGCGAAAATACTGTCTCCATATCGCCTGATGGGGTAACAAGTCAGCTGCCTCAGCTTTTGATTGCAGCCCATATTACAACCTCAAACCAGAAAAGGTTGGGACAGTATGGAAAACGCAAATAAAAAAGTGTTTTCTAAATTTACTTTGACTTGTATTTCATTGCAGACAATAGAACAAACATTATTTAATTCACTCCTTTTGATTTTTATTGTTTTTATTCTAAAATAAACATTCCAATTTTGGTTCTTGCAACAAATTTCAAATAAATTTGGAACAGTAAAGCATTTACCATTTTATAATGTTGCCATTAGTGATGGGAAGTTCGGATCATTTTACTGACTCGGATCTTTAAGTCTCGTTCATCAAGGTGAACGAATCTTTTTTCGTGTCATTTCGTTCATTTGGTTCAATTTGCCAAAATATTATTAAAATGTTACGAATTGCTTCCAAACACATCTACAACTAGCCCAAAAGGTTGATTGTATGATAAATAAGTTATAAATAGAATATAAGAAGGAGAAAATAATAATTCAATGTTTACCTGCTCTTTTGTCTATGAAGGTATTGTTCTCTCTTTGCTCAACTCACCTCTTCATGTCTTCAAATGTCAGGGGTTCATTCACGTTACAATGACAGTCACATGTAACCTTAATCAATGCACAGTCTTAAGCCTGATTTATACTTCTGCGTCAGGTGACCGGCGTAACCCACGGCGCATGCAATGTGCGTGGCTGTGCATTTATACTTCTGCGCGCTGTCTCTGTTGGTCTGCATTAACACTTCCGAAACGCTAGTTGGCAGTGAGGTGTAAATGTTCCTCTGCGTCGAGTTTCTTCACTTTTGTTTTGCTTTTCCTGAACACTTCCGGGATGTACAAGTGGCTTAAACTCGCTCATTTTGAGGCAGGAACTGGCGGACGTGCAACAACTTTAACTATGAGGTAAACACAAAACAAAACTTTCCATCTGGAGCTCCTTCACGGGACTCCACACTTGTAAACAATCGCTTGCGCCATTCGCGTGGCTCTCGGTCCCGCCCAGACTCGTCAGCGCTACCAAGCCAACCAATCACAGAGCTTACGCTACGCGTCGTTGCGACATGTAGTTACATTTTTTAAAAGGGGCACGACAGTGACGGCGACAGCCACGGCGAAGGGCTATGCGTCAGCGCCGTAGCATACGCCAGCGTTTGACGCAGAAGTATAAATCAGCCTTAAGCCGATAGGAGCCATGATCGTTCGTTCATCACGTGACAGAATGACTCAAACCTGAGGACTCGAGAGATGAACGGTTCAATTCTTTATCCAGCTCTAAACGCGTATGATTGGCCCGTGAGGAACGAGTGACTCAGACCCGATAGAGGACTCGAGAGGTGAGCGGATCAATGCTTTTTCCAATGTGATGAAGACTTGAAATTAACGATACTACCTGCACAAATGTGCGCACGTGCGGATGAACGAATCACTCCCTGAGAGGACTCCCCGGGTCATATTAAAGATTCGTTCAAAATGAACGAATCGTTCATAAATGATTCATCACTAGTTGCCATTCCTTTTCATAACACCTAAAATATGTTTAGAGACTGAAGACACCAATTGATGAAGTCTTTCAGGTGTAATTTTGTCTCATTCTTCCTGCGAGCAAGCATTAAGGTGGGCAACAGTAAGGGGTCTTCATGTCACATTTGGAATTTCAAAATGCACCACACATTCTCTATTGGAGACAGGTTGGGACTGCAGACAGGCCAGTCAAGTACCTGTATCCTCTTCCTCTGCAGCCAGGACTTTGCAATGTGTGCAGAATGTGGTTTTGCATTGCCTTGATGAAATATGCATGGGTGTCCCTGGAAGAGAAGCTAGCATATTGTGCTCCAAAATCCCTATGTACTATTCAGCATTAATGGTGCCATCACAGACGTGCAATTTACCTTTGCCAAGGGCACTGACACAACCCCATTCCATGACAGAACCTGGCTTTTAGACTTGTTGCTGGAAACAGTCTGGATGATCCTTTTCTTTTAGAGCACAAGGTGTCCATTTCTCTGCAAAAATGCCTGAAATGCTGATTCATCTGACCACAGTACACATTTCCACTGTGTGTTGGTCTATGCCAGACACCTCTGAGCCTACAGAGGTCAACGGTGCTTCTGAACACTGTTAACATAGAGCTTAATTTAGACACAATACAGTTTTAACTGGCATTTGAGGATTTTACAACATATTGTGGTACTTGGGCGAAGCAGTGGCGCAGTAGGTAGTGCTTTGAACTCACATCAAGAAATGTCACTAGTTTGAGCCTCGGCTCAGTTGGCGTTTCTGTGTGGAGTTTGCATGTTCTCCCTGCGTTCCCCTGAGTTTCCTCCAGGTGTTCCGGTTTCCCCCACAGTACAAAGACATGTGGTACCGGTGAATTAGGTAGGCTAAATTGTCTGTAGTGTATTAGTGTATGTGTGTGTGTGGATGTTTCCCAGAGAAGGGTTGCGGCTGGAAGGGCATCCGCTGCAAAAAAAACTTGCTGGATAAGTTGGTGGTTCATTCCGCTGTGGCAGCCCTGGATTAATAAAGGGACTAAGCCGACAAGAAAATGAATGAATGATTGTGGTACTTAACAAAGGTTTGCCAAAGCAGTCCTGGGCTCATGCAGTGACATCGCTTATAGATATGATGATTTTTGTTATATTTTGTTTTGTTTGCTGGTTCGAGCCTCTGCTGAGTCAGTTGGCATTTCTGTGTGGAGTTTGCATGTTCTCCCCATGTACGCGTGGGTTTCCTCCGGGTGCAGGTGAATTGGGTATGCTAAAATTGACCGTAGTGTATGAGTGTGTGTGAATGAGCGTGTATGGATGTTTCCCAGTGATGGGTTGCGGCTGGAAGGACGTCCGCTGAGCTGGATAAGTAGGAAGTTCATTCCACTGTGGCGACCCTTGATTAATAAAGGGACTAAGCCAAAAAGAAAATGAATGAATGAAGACTAAATGCAATGGATGCAATCATAACATAGGCATGTAATAAAAACATAAGGTAATAATCCCAAACTACTTTGATGACAGACATTGACTACAGGATTTTTAATGACCAAAACAGAATTTCTGATGTTGTGTCATGTGGTTCTAGGCATTCTTGGAGAATCAGATTATGTTGTTCTAATTCCTTTATTTCTTATAACTTCCAGGTATGATATCACTTTTTACTATGGTCAAAGTCCTCAGACAATACTCTGAAGAAGGAGCAAATTAAGTCCAGGCCCCACAGTTGTTCTAGGAATTCTAAAAAGTTTCTCCAAAGGTGAAATCTCCTATGGAACATAATTCCAATGATATAAAAAGCTCTGATTAGAATGCCACATATTTTGAAATGATAAAATGCAGCATAAAACTATGCACACTTCAGAGTTGTGCCAAAATTATAAAGTCATTCATGTACATTTTAGGAAAATTATAAAATTGGTATATAGTACTGAGTATACTACATGGTATTGAGACATAGTCAGATAAAAAGATTGAAAGTTGGAATGAAATCAAACTCTACTTTTATAAGTATCGTAGTGTTTATAAACGATATATCCAGCTTGATCTTACGAGGAAACGAAAGTATTTTATTATCAGTTTATGTCAGTTAAGTGGCTAATTTGTTCAGTCGTACGAAAATGTAAGATTTTAAAAAGGAGGCGTGCCACCTAACACCACCCCTAACCCCAACCATCATTGGGTGACGAGCAAATCGTACAAAATTGTACTAAATGACGTACTAAATTAGATTGTACGAATTCATACAAATTAACCACTGAATCAAAAAGTTACGAATTGCTGTGAGATTGCGTTGATATATCTGTGCACGTTGTTGTTTTGCAAAAAGTTCATTTGCCCTCAAATTTTTCATTCATTCATTCATTCATTTTCTTGTCGGCTTAGTCCCTTTATTAATCTGGGGTCGCCACAGCGGAATGAACCACCAACTTATCCAGCAAGTTTTTACGCAGCGAATGCCCTTCCAGCCGTAACCCATCTCTGGGAAACATCCACACACACATTCACACACACACTCATACACTAGGGACAATTTAGCCTACCCAATTCACCTGTACCCAAGTCTTTGGGTACCGGAGCACCCGGAAGAAACCCACGCGAAGGCAGGAAGAACATGCAAACTCCACACAGAAACACCAACTAAGCCGAGGTTCGAACCAGCGACCCAGCGATCCTTTTGCTGTGAGGCGACAGCACTACCTACTGTGCCACTGCCTCGCCCCTCAAAAAAAATTTTTTATCAAATACCATAACCTTCCTTGCGTCCTCAAAATTACTTTTCTTTACGTCTGGTCACATGTAATGCCTTTCGGTAGGCATGTCTCATTTCTGCCCTGCTTTTGTTCATTCGTCAGTTTTCCTTCATTTTGTTAGCAGCGCCTATCTTCCAAAGATCCAATCATCCAATCAAGGACAAAAACAGGTACCACTCTTTAGTTGTTTTCTTAATTTTGGACCGTTTTAATCAAATGTATGTCACGAATCACCATATTGAAAAAAAGAGACAATCTTAACTTCCCTTTCATGGCAACTTTAAAATTCCAGCTACTTTTGGCAGCTCTATTGCCCCCCTTCAGTACTGGAGGTGTGTTCCCACCAAAACAACCCAGTGCCACAATGTGCTTGGAATGTGCTAGCTAAGCATTCATTCATTCATTTTCCTTCGGCTTACTTTTATTCATCAGTGGATCAACCAACTTATCCAGCATATGTTTTACACAGCGGATGCCCTTCCAGCTGCAACCTAGTACAGGGAAACACTCATACACACTCATTCACACATACACTATGACCAATTTTAGCTTATTCAACTCACCTATAGCGCATGTCTTTAGACTGTGGGGAAAACCGGAGCACCCAGAGGAAACCCACGCAAACACGGTGAGGACATGCAAAATTAACACAATAATGCCAACTGACCCAGCAGGGACTCGAACCAGTGACCTTCTTACTGTGAGGCGATTTTGCTAACCACTAAGCCACCATGTCGCAGCTAGCTAAGCATTCATGAGTATATTTCTGCAGCTTAGCTTGTTTTTATGTCATGGTCCTAGAAAGCAGGAGGCGAGCAGAAAGGCGTGAGCAAGAAAGAGACCAGGCCTTACAAAAACTGTGCGATCTTAGATGTTCTCAGGTACTATCTTTGTTTGCAAATGCACATTATTGTTGTCATTGATTGATATTCAGCACCTTTAAATACATTTATTTTTTTACCAGAGTAAAGAATGTCTACGAGAAAACCTAAAACAGAAACCTGCCCCTTCAGAACTTGCAATTGATCCCAATACACAAAGGAGGCTGGTCACTGAGCAGGTGCTACACACACAGTAAAACAGCTTTCATCAGGCATGTGTAATACTACTTACTATTTTAATTTCCTGTCTGTGCTTGTTTACATCTGTTTTCTGTACTACAGCTGAAAAGTCTGTTCAGAGAGAGAGAGCAGTGTGGAGAAAGGTCAGTAGTGCACCATTAACACCCTGTCAGTTGTCAGTCAATCTGATTCATTATCTTCCCCCCAAGGCAGGATTATTTTCTCTGCTTCTTATATAAAAACGAGACATCGGGGAAATTCCAGACGCGGAGGCCCCATCACTCTCCCTTCCCCCACTTCTCCAGTTCCTGACTGAAAATCTGTGGAAAAATCAGTAAGGAGGCTTGCCAAATCCACAGTTTTCCCACAGAGCTGGACTACTTTATACCATTTGCTGCAGGTTGTTTTTTATTCTGCAGGTTAAAGTTTTGACATTTATTTATTTTCTTTTCGGCTTAGTCCCTTTATTAATTTGGGGTCGCCACAGTGGAATGAACCGCCAAGTTTTGACATATTGTATCAATTATATTTAAATGGTGAAATATTTAACTCTACCAAATTTATTTTAAAATCAATTATCAAAAATGTGCTTGAATAATTTTTATATTTTTTTATATAATATATAATATAAATATATAGAATATATTTTAATAATCTAATACCATAATCTACTAAAATAAGGTTATTTTGAAAGAAAAAAACATGATGTAAAATATGTTTGCTAAAAAGTGGTGGCATATTTTGAGTTTTGATGTTAGTTTTATTTGGCTAGTTTGTTGCAAAAACCTGGCAACCCTGTAAGTAAGTGTTCCACTAAATGGATGGTCAGACACATGGAATGTACACGTTATTGAGTGAGATCAGTCAAGGTGCATCAAACTGCTGTTATCGATCATTGCATGCAACAAACTGAAGCAAATCAATGCATCTGCAAGTTTCTGAAACCACAAAGGAAAGGATAGTTTTAAGGAGTTTGGATATTTAGATTATATGTTTGTGTTCTAGATATTTACACAGATTTATTTCTGAGGGGTTTATATATGACACGATATTCAATATAAATCGTCTTTTAGATATCTCATGAATATAGGCAATATATTGGTACATTTAAAGTTTATTTAAAAGATTTACTCATTAAAGAGCCCCTATTATGCATTATAAAAGGTCATATTTTGGTATTGGGTATCTCCAACAACAGACAGATATGCATGCAAGGTCAAAAAAAATGACAGAGGATTGCGAGTTCAGAAAATCATTTAAATCGGTAAAGGAAAAAGCACACGTCGTGTTTTCAATGTGGTTTTGGACGCAATATTTGAATAGCCTATAAAGATTTAGTCTGAGATATACAGTACAAGCACTGATCTATAATAGACAAGTAATTACAAGTCACATGGAGCAACACACGATTAAATACGTAGTTTGCAAACTACAGATAAAGAGGCAACTATTTTAATTACACTTACATGTTATGATCTGGAGAAAGAAGAAACTGGCCCATATGAACTGCCTGTCAAAGTCTGACAAAGTCCCATACTTAACAGTCTCTGCTGCTCCTTCCTTTAATAGCAAACGGCTGACGAGTCCCACGTTGCAGTGCAAGTTATTGTTTAAAAAATCAATAAATGATTGGAACAAAAACAGCAACAGATTGGTTATACTGTTGTAGTGTTGTGAAAATGAACTTTAACAGTTTATTCCCCACAGCCGAATCTCCATCTGTCAGTGATCGTCATCTTTGTGTCATGATCAGTCTCATGATCCCTCGTACTCCGTTAGTGTCTGAAGGGAAAGGCACGTTCATGTTTTACCGGATCAGGCACTTCATTTGGTGATGTACCCTATTGATGTCGATGCATTTAGACAAAAGATCCGCTTCCAACTCGATTTATTTATTAGACTCTGAGTCAACGATTTCATTATAGAATCAATATTTTTAAGCACAGTGCACTTTTAGATTTAAACCTCAGCTGGATGTTTTCATTTACTTAGTGCTGTGTTAAACACTGCATGGAAGCTTATTTTTAAAAACCCATCATAGGCTCTCTTTAAAATGACAGTGTGGTCACCTAAAATCTTTAGGAACAAAGCAATAAGGATACGATAATGATAATCTTTAGGAACAGAAGATAAATTCAAATTTAAATGTAATTCCAAATTACAATTAAATAACACATTTCCCCCATTTGATAGTTTCTCCTAACATATTCATATGGTGTACAAATTCTTCATCTTTGGTTACGTTAAATTGAATTATTTTAGCTTTGGTTTTATTACTAATCAATGTAATGCACAATTAACTTTTTGTATTGAATCCTATGGAAAGTGTTCATTTTAAGAGAGATCTGAAAAGGGTGTACTAATTCACAAGGAAACATAACTATGTAGGCCTACTATACTGTCAGACAAGTGGCTAATTCCGACAAAATATTTATGATTTTATTTTATTAATACAATTATTTAAAAAGAGGTGTGCCCCTAACCCCCCCCCCCCCCCCCCCCCCCCCAAACCTACCCCTCATTGAGGGATGAGCAAATCATAGTAAAATTACTAATGCGATTGTACAAAATGGTTGTTGGTGACAGACAGGCTGGTCTGAGTAATTCGGAAACTGCTGATCTACTGAGATTTTCACGAACTACTATCTCTAGGGTTTACAGTGAATGGTCTGAAAAAGAGAAAATATCCAGTGAGAGTCAGTTCTGTGGGTGCAAATGCCTTCTTGATGCCAGAGCTAAGAGAAGAATGGCCAGACTGGTACGAGCTGATATAAAGGCAACTGTAACTCAAATAACCACTTGTTACAACTGAGGTATGCAGAAGAGCTACAGTTCACACAAGCTCTCCAAAACTGACCAATAAAACGTTGCCTGGTCTGATGAGTCTCAATTTCTGCTGTGACATTCAGATGGTAGGGTCAGAATTTTTCATCAACAACATGAAAGCATAAATCCATCCTGCCTTGTTTCAACAGTTCAGGCTGGTGGTGGTGGTGTAATGTTTTGGGGGATATTTTCTTGGCACACTTTGGGTCCATTAGTACCAATTGAGCATTGCGTCAACGCCACAGCCCACCTGAGTATTGTTGCTGACCATGTCCATCCCTTCATGACCACAGTGTACCCATCTTCTGATGGCATTCCAGCAGGAAAACACACCATGTCATAAAGCGCAAATCATCTCAGACTGGTTTCTTGAACATGACAATGAGTTCACTGTACTCAAATGACCTCCACAGTCACCAGATCTCAATCCAATAGAGCATGTGGTAGAATGGGGGATTCACATCATGAATGTGCAGCCGACAAATCTGCATTAACTGCATGATGCTATAATGTAAATAAGGAGCAAAATCTCTGAGAAATATGTCCAGTACCTCGTTGAATGCCATGAAGGCAGAAGCCATGATTAAGGCAGTTCTGAAGACTAAAAGGGATCCAACCCAGTACTAATAAGGTGTACCTAATAATTTGGCCAGTGTGTATATATAAAAGTCAAACTCTTTGTTTCTAAATTGATATAATCGATATAAATCAAGATATTGTTTTTATTCAGGTAGTTTACATTTAACATTTTGTTTACTTTTTTTGTATTTTAGTTTAAGCTTTTGTTAATGATAATAACCTTCCTCCCAACTCTCCCTCAACGGATCAGTGAATGGTGTGAACCCTGGCTCAGGAAGAGGAGTGGGGGTGGGAATACTGGAATTTTCCCAATGTCATAATTCACATTTGGCATGTGGCGACGTTAAAACTGTCTTGGAAAAGAAGCTATGAATCAAATCTTATTGACATTTGACAGAAAACATATATGTATGTGAAACGTGTTCTATTCAGATCTTCAGTGTTCCCAAGAAGACCTTACTTGGCTGATAATTTGGTCCAAAATGCTTCAGATATTAAGGTAAACAAGCACATTTTTCGTTTTTTAGGCCATAAATCGGGATGTCTTTTGATACGGAAATTAATAACAGCTGTGTGACACATTTAGAACTGGAATGCTGTTGACGTGAACCATCAGGGAAGAGAAACGCAGACACCGGAGCAAGATCCCCAACAGGGGGCAGCAAAACCATGTCCATCCCAGATCTCAGACGGAGGATCAGACAGGTCTGCAGGAGGGGTGGAGGATAAACAGCCAATCAGCGTCAAGCATTCCAGCAAGACTGCCCAGGTATGGTGAGAATCTGCGCTGCCGATCTTAGTTTGATAGCATTTTTGATTGGCTTATGGTGCTCTTCTAATTCAAGCTCAACTAAAAATTAATTGATTTTAATCTTTGAGTAAAGTTTAACAGAACAACTCACAAATCACATCATAGACTCTAATTATAGTGTCCTGATCTCACATTTTATGTTAATCAAAGAGCATGCTGGGGTGGAGGGTCACATAAGATGCTTTTAGTGTTTCGGGAGAGCGTCTGTTCAGATACAAGCATAAAACAAACTATAGTTTTACATGATATTCCCTATAGCCTATTTGTTTATCGGTGTTGTGGTGTGATATCAGCTGTTTTTGAGAAATTAATATGTTTGAATGAGACAACCAGGGGCTAAAATAATTTAAAAATTTAGTTTTTAACAATGCTAATTTGACCTTTTATCTATTTTTTTTATAATTTAATTCTTTTCTTTTTTGCCTTGCTCATCCTGCCAAAGTAAAATCTCCTCGACCAAACTTAATTTCTTCATTTTCTTGTCGGCTTAGTCCCTTTATTAATCCGGGGTCACCACAGCGGAATGAACCGCTAACTTATCCAGCAAGTTTTTACGCAGCGGATGCCCTTCCAGCCGCAACCCATCTATGGGAAACATCCACACACACTCATTCACACACACAAACTCTTACACTACGGACAATTTAGCCTACCCAATTCACCTGTACCACATGTCTTTGGACTGTGGGGGAAACCGGAGCACCCAGAGGAAACTCACGCGAACGCAGAGAGAACATGCAAACTCCACACAGAAACGCCAACTGAGCCGAGGCTCAAATCAGCGACCCAGCGACCTTCCTCCCTATAGCCTATTTGTTATTGGTAATGTGGTGTGATATCAGCTGTTTTTGAGAAATTAATTTGTTTGAATGGGCCAACCAGGGGCTGAAATGATTACAAATTTTGTTTCTCACAATGCTAATTTGACTTTTTTGTTTAAAATCCAATTTTAATAAATTATTTTTGTTGCTTTTTTGTGACTCAGATATAGAAGATACAGAAGGGTCCACTTGAAGAATGGAGGGGGATCAACTGCTGAAGTGAAGATCATCCATTGTAAAGAAGACAACTTTGCTAAATGCACCTTTATTCCTGTTCTCCTAAGTTGAACTGCACAGCTAAGCTAAGCTAATTTTCATTGTTGTTTAACCTTCAAGTGACTGCTACAGGTGTGAGATACAGTTCAGATACAAAACACCAACATGATTTCAGATGAAATTCTACATTTATTAGTTTCTAAAACGATGACTTTTTTATAAATAGATTGTTTGAATCTGATGATATATTATTTACATTATGTGTGGCACAGTAGATATCGCTGTCACCTCACAGCAAGAAGGTCACTGGTTCGAGGCTAGGTCAGTTCCCACACAGAAAAAACCTATAAAAACACATATGTTTTATTATAGGGTTTGATATAGGTTTTAAATATATGTGCCAAAATTGGGCGTTTTCCTATATTATATTTACATATATGCATGTATAATTGCATACATGTTCACCTATATGTTAGTAAAATTATTAAAATCCATAGCTGCTAGACAACATAAATAAAATCTTTTTTTTTTACATTTTATTTATTTAAGAACAATCGAATAGTACAAGAAAAAAAATCTAGCACAAGAACAAAAATAAGGCAAAAACCAACAATTAAGGAAAGAAAACAAAATAATAAAAAAAAAAAAACGACACACCATTTTGTTACACTTCTTTTCCACTATCTTTATACAAGAAAGAATTTACCTTGTAAATGTTTCAGGGAAAACATGTAGACATAGCTTTCCATCTCCTCTCACTTATTTGCCCTAGTTAAATTAGTTAGTTCTTAGTTATTGCCTTGATAATAGAAAATATGAGCTAGGCAAGGCATCATGCATGACAGTTGCCAAAGTGAGCTATATAGGAGACATTTTGTATGTACATATAGGGCTTATGTGTGGATATGAAGAAGCAATACAGGAAACCTACATGACCTGTATATGCACATATATGCACCTCATTTTTTCCAATTTGTGGCATATATACACATATATACAGCATATAGGTTTCATATATGCGTATACATCCTCATATAGGTTCTTTCCATGTGGGTTGGCATTTCTGTGTAGAGTTTGCATGTTGTCCCCGTGTTTGTGTGGGTTTCCTCCGAGTGCTCCAGTTTCCCCATAAGTCCAAAGACATGCGCTATTGGTGAATTTTGGTAAGCTATGTATGTATGCGAATGAGTGTGCATATGGGTGTTTCCCAGTGTTGGGTTGCAGCTGGAAGGATATCCACTGCATAAAACATGCTGGATAAGTTGGCAGTTTATTCTGCTCTAGTGACCCCAGATTAATAAAGGGACTAAATCAAAAGAAAATAAATGAATGAACAAATTCCATTAAATGTGATATACGAGTAATCTAGATATATTATTTACAGATTAATTTCAAATTTACATGTCAGTTTTGAACTAAAACACAAGTTTTGGCTGCTTATTATAAGATATAACTCAAACTTTTAAAAGTGATTTCAATGTGAGTCATTGTCATCTCCATGAACGTGATGGAAAATGGAAAATGGTGGTGCCATCAAATGCATATTTTATGTTCAGTCTATAGTCATAAAGAGCCGTCAAAACTGCTGATATCCATCTGGTTATTCCCACATTAAAAAGAAAACAATGCAGAACAGGTTACATCTACATCTTACATAAAACACAGTAACTCTCCTACAGTATTGGAATTCCATAGTAGGAAAAACAAATACCATGAAAGTCAATGGTTACAGGTTTCCATTTTTTTTCTAAATATCTTTCTTTTTTTACATTTTTTCCCAGCGATTGGCTGCCGTCCTGCCATTTTTCGCTTGACATTTGCATAAAGTCAGGATATGCCCAACCTTTCTGATGTTCTCGGTTGCTTTTAATACATTCAGTCCCATAATGTCAACTGACTCTGTTTGGGCATTAAAGGGCACCTATGGTGAAAAATCTACTTTTCAAGCTGTTTAGACAGACATTTTTGCAAGTATAGTGTATAGACCGTCATATTGGGGTGATATAAACACACACTCCTTTTTTTTTTTTTTTTTCAATTTAACAACATAAAAACGGTGGACCAAATTGAGCGGTTTTCAGAGCAACCGCGACTTGATGTAGGAGTGCGGTTCCCCCGCCCACGGAATTGATTGACAGGCACGCGTCACCTAATCCTCAGTTTGTTGTTTCACGTCCGCCATATTTAGCGTGAGTCAAAGCGATGTCACTAAAAGAACACCTTGCTCTATTTTTAGATGTAAGGCACATTGTGCTCAACACAAGATCAACATTCACCACATGATTGCTGTAATCGGAATTATTGTTTGTAACTTAAGGTAGGTTTGTAAACATGTGTGCTTTTTATTGCGTCTACCGTAAAACTTCAGCCATTCGCATTTCTAACAAGTGATCTTCTTCCTGTGATCTTAACTAGGTGCAGCTGGAAAGTGCGAGCGCTTTGCCTCACGTGCACGTCTCTCCATTGGAAATAAAATAACGAACTTGCCTGCAGGTCGCACACCAGAAGCACTGTCGCACCACGCAGCGCCATGCATTTTAGAATTCTAAACATAGGTTTTTATCAGGGTACACACACCGGCGCTTTAAGTTGGCAGCTGTCACAGCCACAATTCGGGACACTTCATGTTTCTGCCGCGTCACAGAGCACCATCTATATAGTTTCATTTTAAATAACATGCGAATGCGCGTGTCTGAGTGTGCCGTGTCACAGCTCCGGTGTCAGTCGAAGTTAATTCAGTGTGCGTGGTTATTAGTCTCTGTGTACAAGCTTGGAACTTTAAAGGGCCATGAAACCCCCTCGTTTCAGCAGAGTGTTTTTACACCTCTACTTTGGAAAAAGCCAGAAAAGTGGGCGTGTCCAGCTCTGTTAAGGGGGATTGTCGGAGGAGCAAAAGACGGATGGTGTGGGAGTGTCTATTTAACCACGTGCTGAGTTTCAGGGTCAAAACACATACACACACAGGGGAGGAAAGTTTGGTTGTGGTGCTAATATGTTTACACTCATGTGGTGCAATAGTTAGTTTGATACGAACAAACTGAATAAACAAAGAGCACTGGTCGCTCACTTACCAAATCTGTAGAGACAGGACAATCCACAGCAACTAGAACCGCGTCTTTATTAAGAGGAGAAGAGAAGCGAATCCGGATCTCCGATTGCAGAAGAGAAAAGGTCTCGGGTAAACAGTGTTCCTTAGACATGTAAGTTATTGTTGTCGCGCGTCGCATACACTGTAATCCACGCGTGATTCCAGCTGCGCTCTCACAGAGAGAAAATAAAAACAAAACTTCACTTCAGCAAATTAGGAAAGCAACACTGCACGCTTGTTTTGCCAACACAATGTGGCGTCTCTGCAGTGACGCCGTCTACACTGTAACATTAATGAATATTAATGAAGTTGCACAATAGAGCGCGCTGATTGGTTTGAACCAAGTCTTACTTATGCATTAATGCAGCACACTGGGAGACGTAATACGGTACACCCAGGTACAGTCACCCAGTCTACACGCTGGAATACACGCGATGATCTCATGGCCGTGACGCAGCTTCAAAAAATCGATTCAAACCGGATGTACGAATTTGCTCGAAATAACACAAAAACAACCAATTTTCACTTTTTAGTGAGATATATGTGTCCTAATAGTGTTTTTGAGCGGCTAACAGCTCAAAAAATGTGTTTTGGTGTTCCGTGACCCTTTAAACAAGCACACAGTTGGCTGTAAAACTATACAAAGAGACAAATGATTGTGTACTCTCTGCTTGGTCTGTGTCTGTGGCGTATATGTACAGCTGAATGCTGATCCTCTCACTCAGTCTGCCTGTCTGTTGCAATCACACAGAGCGGGTGAGCTCTTGGCGCCACCCCCTTGTTATGTTGGGTGAGAAATCGAAACTAATTTTAATGTGAGGCAACACACCCCTAAAACAGCGAGCTGTGTACACGCCCCCAAAATAACACTTTTTAACACATTATAATAAAAACAACTGAACTGTGTGTTGAACTGAACCTAAACTGGCACACTCAGAAGAACCATCAACTTAATATTAAATCACAAAAAGGGGTAAACTATGTGCCCTTTAACACTCAACTTCCTTATGAATGAACTGAAAATACTGCGCTGCGTTTCTAACTTGCCAGTGGAAATGCAACGTTACCATTGTCCATTTGTGATTGAATCAATGACAACATATCTTAAAACCAGGTCTGAACAAGGCATGAGCGGCTCTTGTTTTAAAAAATAGCCTGTAACCTTCGGGTATTTTTGTTTGCTTGAAAACTGTTTACTGGCAAAAGAACTTGACACCACTTGGCTACATTTCTCTAAGGGTACTTTCTCATTTGGTTCAATTGCCTGGACCATGCCCAAGTTTGAGTGTCCCCCCTAGCCACCTTCTCGATTGGTTTGTGTTCACATTGTCTTTTTCCTCCTGAACCCCTGTAAGCTTGCGTCATCGAGCTGCTGTTTTGTTTATGGCTATTGCTAGGTGACATTCATGAAAGCAAAGTCAAACAGACATCAAAGTGTATGCCCTGACTCAGTCCTGCTTGTCACCAAGGTACAATATGTGACACACACACACACACACACACACACACACACACACACACACACACACACACACACACACACACACACACACACACACACATACATGAATGAATGTTATGAAAATGATAGGTTGTTGTCGAGTTGGCGGTTCACTTCCGTTATTTGGTACAATTGCATTCATATCAGAAGTGAACCGTACCAGAGTTCGCATAACCGTATCTAAGACCACCTTTTCAGGCAGACTCGGGTACAGTTCACGGGTGTGCATCCGAGTTCAGAAGACACGTTCGTACTAGCTAAACGTACAGTACTATGACATCAAATGAACCCGAGTGCGGACCAAAAGTGCTAGTGTGAAACCACCCTAAAGCATCGTAATACAAGTTGATCATAGAAAACCTTAGATGGGTTTCCCTCAGATGGGTTGCGGGTGGAGGGGCATCCGCTGCGTAAAAACGTGCTGGATAAGTTGGCTGTTTATTCCGCTGTGGTGACCCTGGATTAATAAAAGGACTACGCCGACAAGAAAATGAATGAATGAATAAACCTAGATGAGGACTTGAGCAAGTAACTGATATTAAACACTGCTTTCGGCTCTTTGTGGTGTAGGAGTTGGGGGGGGGGGGGGGGTTAAATTCTAGAAAGAATTTGTTTGGTCAAGATCTGAGGGTATTCCAGAAAGCAGGTTATGACATACCTAGATAAGTTATATGCAACCAATAACCTCGTCTTTTGTGACCAGTGTTAACATACTCTGAGTTAATTCATTTACTTCCCCAGGAGGGATTTTGGAATGGACATATTTTGAGTAAGCAGGTTTAGGGTTAATCAATCCAGACTTTAGGGTTTAGCAGAATAAACCCCATGATGAGAAAGACTGTATGTTTTGCAGCCTTACGCAATCTAAATGTGAACACACTTGCTTAAAAATACTAGCCTTAAGTCTATATAGACTCCAATTCCAAATAAAATTCCAGTTTGCTTTCACAGAAATTTAGATACGAGTTTCATGCACAAACCGTTTGCTTTGCCTACAAAGATATTCATAGGGTTCGAGTCATATAGGGCCATCTTTTATGATGAATTGAATTTTGGAGATTCATAAAACGTTACAAATTTGGGAGGATCCAGAATATTATTCATTCATTCATTTTCCTACGGCTTCGTCCCTTTATTCATTAGGGGTCGCCACAGCTGAATGAACCGCCAACTTAAACAGCATATGTTTTACACAGTGGAACCCAGTACAGGGAAACATCCATACACAATTATTCAAGCACGTAAGGAAACAGGAACACCCGGAGGAAACCTACACGAACACGGAAACCATGCAAACTCCAAACAAAAATGCCAACTGACCCAGCTGGGTCTTGAACCAGCGACCTTCTTGCTGTGAGGCGGCCGTGCTAACCACTGAGCCACTGTGTCACTCCTCTAGAATATTATTTAACTCTTATTTTGTTCATCTGGAATAAAAAAACTGCAAACACCTGGCATAGCTTGAGCATAAATAAATCATGGCATCGTTTTCAATTTGGGGTGAACAATTGCTTTATTATACTGCAAATGTCATACAATGAGACTGTAAGGGTTATCATGGGAATAAATGCTACACAAGTACATGACCTCGTGGACTCCAAACGCAGAGGTCAGAGCATGCCTGAAACGAAAGGGATCGGACTGTCGCCTGAAGGATTGAAGAGGACGGGGGATTAAACTACAATGTCATTAAAATAGGCTGATCTCTCATGGATCTTGGCTCTCGTAAGACAAGTGTTTAATCCTGAACATTAAAAGCAAACATTTAGGCTTAGTTTATGATGGATAAATCCTCTAGGTTTTACATAACAGCCATGTAAGCCAAACCTGCCGTATATATATTGGTGGTTGTCGTGCTTTCATATCATGACAAATGTATTCATTTATCTGATAGGGGGGATTTGTGATGCAATGCTTTTCTGCACTTTCAGGTCATAAAACTATTTTCTGGGAACTATTTTGCATTATATGAGGACAATACGGCATCTTTTGACATTTGAAGCTTTGGTCATTTTTTGTGTGCAGAGTTTTGGTAATGCAGAATATATCACTGGAAAAGGATAGTAATGTGTTAGGTGGCTTGAAGAGGAGATTAAGAATTAAAGTGACTTTTTTAATGTGAAATGTTTTTGGAAATCAGTCACAGAATAAATTCATCCCACGTAAGTCTATTACAAAAAGTCATGACCCAAACACTGCTTCAGATATGATTACCTTGCCATTTTTTCAGTACCACCCAAACAGAAAAATGTAATTCTGTCAATGACCCTCATCATCTCTCGGAGTTGTCTTCCAAATTCACAATTTGCTTATGTGATTCCTCAGAGACTGCCAGGTAGAAGTCTTCTGTGATGTCTGCACAAGTTCAGCCTCAGTGGAAGGGCACAATGATGATATATTCAGGCTTGCGTGATACCTTCCACATTTGGGGTGGAACATCTTGTAAGAGTCTGGAAGTATAACCATCCCTGCTCCTGGAAGTCTTCCCTTCAGGAGAATTCAGTTACTGAACATTTTGATTTACGGTTTAGGTGTGGGTGGGAGCCTTCCCAAAGCACAGGGTATAGAATTTAAAGGCAGAAGTCTTCAACCCAGTTCTTATGGGTCAGTGATTTGCAGATGACTTATGGACTAGTTCCAATTTGATCTTTTTTTTCTGTCATTTCAGAACTGTTCTCTACACTTAATCAGGTAGAACAAATGTTTTAGGGTAAGAGATGAACTCAGTAGGACACTGGCTCTCCAGGGTTGAAACTTGTACAGCCAACTGTCGAAATGTCAGCTTAAGGATACCCTTTTTAAGAAGTTAAATACAATGTGTTTCACCTGGGGTCTTATTGGCAAGACAGCAGTGTTAGCATATTTTAAGCTAATGGACCAGAGTCTGGTTCTTCATCAAGTTTAGGAGCTGAGCAAGTGACTTTAAGGAACATCCATGTTCCTTTCCAGTTAAGGTGGACTTTGCTAAATAAAAAAATAAGCCATTTTTGTTATCTGAAAAAATTATATATGTAGGCATTTCAGATGGCTGTATTGATATTTAAAACATTCTAGCTTTGTAGCAAGTGTTATGAAGTGACCCTCTTGGTATTGTCCACAACTGGCCTTAATTCTCTAACACAGTTGACAGGCCTGTCCAGTGTCCAGTCTAAACGACTGCAGCAGACTTCCAGTTCCTCAAATAGAAATGTCTTTGGATTATTCTGTTTGCAGACTGCTAGTCTGAGTATGCAACTCTTAAGCCCTTCTAGAGATCCGACACTGACCACCAACGTTTTATAGAGTCCAGAGCTAAGGTTGTAATCTTGGTCAGATAAAGTCAGAGGTCCAGGGCAAAGTGGGGGTAGTCTGATCTGGATGATCATTTCTTCTAGGCAGTGAACGACACCGGTTATACTGACTGAGGATATAGTGAGTGTGTTCTGCATTGAAGAGAAAGTCAGGGTGAAGTGCATAAAGGGATCTGAAGTCTTGCTGTAAACATTCGAACCATAGTTAGAAAATAAAGGTTCTTCCTGAAGTAGGCCTTGTGTCTGAAGTGGAGAAAGAGTGCAGGGTGATCGTGGGTTGGCGGTAGTAAGCCTTCTATGCTCACTGAATGAGTAATTATCCCCAGTCACAGCGCAGTGCCGTTCCACAACCTTCCGTGTTTTCGAAAGAAGACCAAGTCTTGGTAAAGAGGGGAGAGAAGATCGGCCTCTGCTCATGGGCTTGTAGAGAGATGTGGCAACTGTTGGAGAACTGAGCCGTCTCATTTGGAAGCAAGACTTCTGCTTGTTAACCTCTGAGAAAACAGTGAATTCTTCATCTGATGGCGTAGAGCTCTCGAAAGTACATGGATAGTCTAGAACCTCTCCATCCAGCTCCTCATACTGCAATTTGGTAAATGTGGTTCCAGATGAAGGAGAGGGACTCAATGAGACAGTTACTTCATCAACAGAATCAGGGGGACGGGATGTCCTCACAGCCTTTTTGTTTTCAGGTGGTTTCTCTCTGGTCTTTAACCAACAAATGATGCAGCCCAGGAAAAGAGAACAACACAGGACCACCAAACCAACACTCAGCAGAATCTGCAGGTGGACTGAATAGACAAAGGCTGGTTAGAACAGCTTTTTAATCCGTAGCTATCATTGTAAATGATGGAACAACTGTTAAGTCATAATCCACAAACAAAGGAAACAATTTAATCCGCATAAAGTCAGCATCAGTAACCAAACAGTAAAAAACAGACATGAACTGCTGAACTTAAACATGAAATCTAAATGATCAAAATAATTTATTAGACAAAATGGACAACTACTTGTCCATAGTAAAACATCTCTATTTATATATCTTGGGCGGAGGTTGGGTCTACAATACCTTCAAGTTGCTTTGTGAAGAGCACCTGAACCAGAAGCCAGAAAAACAAGAGGACAATGATTCCTTCGATCATTCCCTTACATCCAAACAGTAGCACAGACTGCCACAGAGGTTGTCCAGAGTTCTCCTCTTCTTCAGTAGCCATGTTGACCAAGAAAAGTCACAGCTGTCACTTCATCTTCACCTTCTGAAGTAACATGATTTATCTTTACAGAGGCACCTTCAGAACAGCGAACTACTTTCCATACAACATCTCATCTGTAAGCATCTCTAGGGTTGAATAATAAACAGGAACGTGCACTGGTTTCTTTCAAACATTCTGTCAAGATACTCACATCTTCAAGTCACAACTGATTTAGCTACATTTGTCACAATGCTTGAAGATGAATCTCAGCTAGTTTCCAAAGGTACAGGAGCTGGACCAGCACGCACAATATCATCCATCAAGTTCATCAAGGAATATCCTGTATGATTCAAATCCAAATTGTCATTCAGTCAAAATCAAAATCCCACTGATGGTATCCCTCCTGTGGTATTTCCTCTCATACATCTGTCTTTTAGTTACATTCAGGGCAGTAATCCGCTCCACTGGCTCCCTTAACGAGAGGCTGAGATGAGTTTAGAGAGGTGGTCCTGCTCAGAATGGGGGCGGGACACATCAGAGATGGGATAGGCACTATACTGGAGACAGGTCAAGGACAACCATGCCATGTGTCCAACACTGTGCCTATTAAAAGGGCATCATCGGAACAATCCCAGCCCAACAAAACAACATCTGCCACATCAAGTTCTGCATGTAATTAAAATGCTAATGTGAATCATTGCTTAAGCAGATATGCATAAATTTCATTATGGCGTGCACTTCCACTCATCAAAGTCTTTAATGAGGATTATAAGGGCGGATCTATGAAATCGGATTCAATTAGACTGAGCTGCGGACACAACCATCAGACATTAAAAGCAAAAAAATAAAATAAATAAAATTTGCACTGCCTCCTGGTGTCTAATGACATGAACTGCAAAACACTATATAAGTTAGACATCAACTGCTGGCTAAATAGCTCTCAACATGTTTGTTGTTCATTTACAAGAAGATTTGCCAATAATAGGTATATGTCTGGAGTAAAATATTCAATATTTATATTCATGTCAACTGCTAATGTAATTTCCCAAATACTTCTTCTGCCTTTACATGCATATAAACTTAAAAGTCCGACTGTTTTCGGGATGTTTCGGTATCTTTCTGAACTTTGATGTCTTGCTTCTCTTGCCATCTATGGAGGCTCAGAGAGCTCTGAGATTTCATTCAAAAACCTTTTAACCTTTGTGTTCTGAAATTGAACAGAGGTATGAGGGGTTTGAAACAACATGATGGTTAGTTATCAATGACGGAATGCTCATTTTTTGGCGAGTTAACAACTTAATTACCTCCCAATCTTGATCCCTGGTTTATTATCACTCTTTGCAGCTTTAACTTCAACTCTTTTGGGAAGGCTTCCCACAAGGTTTAGGGCAGGGCTGCTCAACCGTGTTCCTTGAGATCTACCTTCCTGCAAAGCTCAGCTCCCACCCTGATCAAACACACCTGAAACAATTAATTAGGACCTGAACAGCACTTGATAATTACAGGCAGGTGTGTTTGAAATGGGTAGCAACTGAAATCTGCAAGAAGGTCGATCTCCAGGAACAGGGTTGAGCACCCCTGGTTTAGGGCAAGGGTCACCAAACTCAGTACTGGAGGGCCGATGTCCTGCAGATTTTAGCTCCAACCCTAATCAAACACACCTGAACAAGCTAATTAAGGTCTTACTAGATTAGGGGTGGCCAAACTTGGTCCTGGAGGGCCGGTGTCCTGCTGAGTTTAGCTCCAACTTTCTTTAACACACTTCCCTGGAAGTTTCTAGTATACCTGGAAAGGGCTTAATTAGCTGGTTCAGGTGTGTTTGATTAGGGTTGGAGCTAAACTCTCCAGGACACCGGCACTTCAGGACCGAGTTTGGACACCCCTGTACTAGATATACTTGAAACACCCAGGCAGGTGTGTTAAGGCAAGCTGGAGCTAAACCTTGCAGGGACACCGGCCCTCCAGGACTGAGATTGGTGACCCCTGGTTTAGGGAGTTTTTGACCAATCTTCTAAAATTGCTTTTGTGAGGTTGAATACTGATAATGCACAGGTGTCAAACTCAGTTCCAAAAGGGCCGCAGTTCTGCACAGTTTAGTTCCAACCCTAATTAAACACACCTGATCAAACTAATTGAGTCCTTCAGGCTTGTTTGAAACCTACAGGTAAGTGTGTTGGAACTAAACTGTGCAGGGCTTCGGCCCTCCAGGAATTGAGTTTGACACCCCTGTGATAATGGATGTGAAGACTCTCAGTCTCCACTCATATTCACCCTAAAGATGTTCAATTCAACCTGCAGCTTGTCTTATCACCTTGCATTTTGCATTACTGCATTCATATCTTAACAGGAAGGCACAACTGCCAAATTCCCACAGATTCAGGAGCATGAACTCCAAACTATCTTGGCATGTTGAAGTTGGGTTACTAGGAGGGCAAGCTCAATTCTAACCACTGAAAAAACAACCCCAAGCCACAATTCCCTCCTCCACCAAATTTTAAACTGGGCACAATGCAGCCAGGCAAGTACTGTTATAACGATACCACCAAATCCAGACTCGTTCATCATCTTTCCAGAAAACACATCTCCATTGTTCTACGGCAGGGGTGCTCAACCCTATTCCTGGAGATCGACCTTGCTGCAGATTTCAGTTGCTACCCATTTCAAACACACCTGCCTGTAATTATCAAGTGCTGTTCAGGTCCTAATTAATTGGTTCAGGTGTGTTTGATTAGGGTGGGAGCTGAGCTTTGCTGGAAGGTGGATCTCCAGGAACAGGGTTGAGCAGCCCTGATCTAGAGTCCAGTGTTGGCTTGCTTTACACCACCGCATATGATACTTTGCAATACAGTGATGTAAGGCTTGGACGTAGCTGCTCGCCCATTTAAAACCATTCCATGAAGATTTCTACGTACTGTTCTTGAGTTAATCTGAAGGCCCCAGGAAGTTTGGAGAGCTGTAGCTACTGAGGTCTGCAGTGTTAGAAAATTAGCTCCAGTTGCCAGATTACCACCAATATTTGTGAGGTATCCAAATCAAGGATCTTTTATTAATAAACTCACTTGCATTCTTATTTTGTACTTCAGATATGTAACTCATGAAAATGTCTTAATCTTAAAGGTGTAATGAAAAGGAGGATTGTCCTTTATTCCAGTATCATGATGACGTACATCGAATTAAATGATTTATGTCAAAAATGTAGGGCGGTGCATGATTTAATCCTTTTGAAAACGCTTGGATTGCTGGAACTAAGGCATGGCTAACAAAAGAGGAAGATTTGAATGCCAGTTGGCACGCAAAGAATCACCATTGAATATTATCAGATGCCTGATGATAAGAACGGGGAGCTACATTTTACAGATCTGTACTGATTGCCCACCCTAACGGCACTGCATGAGACCAGAAGTGAAGGTGTTTCAAGAGTTCACACTTAGCTGATGATTGATAAAGTAAATGTGAATGCCGTCCTGGGAGAGAGCCTTGAGCTCAGAGGATCTACAAGCCCAGGGGTCCCTCCTGTTTAGTAAGGGAAGGGAGCCTGAGCTCAGGTAGGTCTTGAGAACTTCCCTGTTTTTAAAGTAAGGAGCTGGGGTAGATGGGGGGGGGAATAAGGTAAGGAAAACGGAGTATTTATGTGCATTGGGATTCATCTGATTGGTTAGCCATGTAATGTGAGGCCAGCCGTGGTCAATCATAAGCATGTGATCCTCCCAAAATTTGTTTATATAAAATTTCACTTCAAGGGAGGACGAATGACTGTGTTTTGTTTAAAGAAGGGATGTCAAAGTCGATTCCTGGAGGGCCGCAGACCGACACAGTTTAGTTCCAAGCCTGCTCCAACACACTGAAGCTGCGGTCACAATAGAGCTTGTGTGTGCGAAATTCTTTCGTATGGCACTGCGAAAATAATAAGCAAGATTATTAGACATTAAAAATAGCGAGCGATTGCTCCATGTTTTAAATTTCTGTCCAGAGAGGTCATGTTTTGATCCTCGGTTGGTCATACACAGTCAAATGATGCGTTTTTGCAGGTCAGAGTTCACTTAGCTTGAACTTTGCACCGCAGCGAACTGCAAAACTGAAAAAAAAAATAAAGGTCTGGCATGCGTATGAATGGAAGTCTATTGGGGAGAAAAGTAAAGTGTGACTGCAGCTTTACCTGTAGCTTTCAAACAAGCCTGATGGACTAGATTAGTCTGATCAGGTGTGTTTAATTAAGGCTGGAACTAAACTGTGCAAGGCTGCGTCCCTCCAGGAATCGAGTTTCACATCCCTGGATTAAAGGTTAGGGTTGACATGGTGGCTCACTGGTTAACACTGTCGCCTCACAGCAAGAAGGTCACTATTTCGAGTCCGGGGAGTACCAGGGGGGGATATTTGGCATTTCTGTGTGGAGTTAGCATGTTCTCCAATGGGCTTCCTCCGGGTGCTCTGGTTTCCCCCACAGTCCAAAGATATGCGCTATAGGTGAACTAAATAAGCTAAATTGGCCGTAGTTTATGAGTGTGTATGGATGTTTCCCAGTACTAGATTGCAGCTGAAAAGGTATCGGCTGCGTAAAACATTTGCTAGAAATGTTGGCGGTTCATTCCGCTGTGGCAAACCCTGATGAATAAAAGGACTATGCTGAAGCAAAATGAATTAAAAGATTATGAGGACTTTTTGACAAACTGATGAAGTGCACAGATCCATTGTTTATAACAGGGGTGTCCAAACTCAGTCCTGGAGGGCCGGTGTCTTGGAGAGTTTAGCTCCAACCCTAATCAAACACACCAGAAGTAGCTAATCAAGCTCTTACTAGATATACTAGAAACTTCCTGGCAGGTGTGTTGAAGCAAATAGAAGCTAAACTCTGCAGAACTATACTAACAAATACTAAAATAAACAAATACTACTAATATACTAACAAATACTAAAATAAAAACCGTTCATTTTGATTTGGTGCAAACTTTAAAAGAACGGTTCTTGCACTTCTGCATAGAACAGGACAAATTCACACATGACCAAGTATGACCTAAAATGTAGGGCAATGGTTAATGATCCCCAACGTGCACACAGAGCAAGAAATAAAGCACAGAAAAGACCTTTGCATCAGATCAGACTTTAATTTCGTTGTGTAAAGTTGCATGTGTCTATACAGTAAGGTCATCAGAGAGGATAACAAACACATGGTCTTTGGTTCTTAGCTATGCAGAAATCTGAAGAATATAGAACGTAAAACCGAAGAAACTAATAAATGTCTGAATCCCAGCAGGTCCCAGGGTCAAGCAAAACGCAGGATTATAAACGGCTAAAATGTACAGTTGATGAGGCTACGTCGGCAAGACTACACCAACATAACCAAGCCAACGAGCCTCCATTGCTACTGGAAGACAGTTTCTGCACTAATCAATACATCATGGATATGAGATCTAACTCTTCATACGACAATCTCATCTCGCACTGCTGTATTAACGCTATTCTGCCTTTTCTGAGGTATTTTGCTAATTCTTTACCTGAGTGATTTCTTTCGCTTGAAAAGACAGCCAGCAGTACACGTCTGAGGTAATTCTGTGTTGTACTGCAAGTAGTTGAACTACATCCGAGGTAAATCCTAAGTGAGGTAGCTATTTCAGTCCCACGGCGACCGAGTTACGTCTAGTGTCATTCGTTTCAGGAGCGAGACTGCATCTAGGTTCTGAAGATTAAAAGTTATGAAGAAAAAAAATTCCTGAGAAACTCGCTTTCCAATATGGAAAGATATGTGAGGTCTGAAGTTCAACAACTAAAAATACAAAATGAAAAAAAAGCCATCCAATCTTCGTTTGATTCGAATGTTATCCTGCTTTTTTCCGTGACCTGGTTTGTTTTAAAGAATGGTACATTACTACGGCTCTTATTTCATCACGAGCCTGTACATGATCGT